TCAAATGCTCAGGGACTCAGCCCTGTCAATCATGCTGCATGTCGCAAAATCCCGATCAGTGCGAGTTTCCTACACGAGACCGAAAGATATCGGTGTCCGAGACGTGCGTTACCAAATTGAAACTTTTCCAAATACGCTTGTAAGCTAATGAATTCGAGATCCTAGGTACATCAAAAAGCTAGAGGGAGAAGTCAAAGTTTTGAGAGCCCAAAAGCAGCGGTCAAGGGCCTCCTCTGAGCTGCATGAGACAAGCCGTCTTACTCAAGATACAGTTCAGCCCTCGACCCAGTCTCCAGATATTGATGTTTCTAATCCTCTTCTTGAATCACCTACTGGGTTTGTTGCAGCCAGATCATCCTCACAGCCAATATTTGTTGGTGAGGCTTCCTGCGTTGCCTTTGGGGACACCTTGCTCCAGTGCGTCGACAAAAATGCCGATCTCTCGTCGCGGGCATCTCCGACATATTTCCAACACGATATTTTCCATCGTCTCATGCGCCCGGAGGTGGAGTTGCCTGACCGAATACAAGCCCGCCTCTTGGTGGAGGTTGCCATTCGATTCATAGGTACTGATTACCATTTAATTCTGAAGAAAACTTTTTTCGACACGCTGGACCGAACGTGCGCCGGAGAGATCCCGTGGAACCCTGCATGGATGTGCAAGTTTTTTGTACTGCTAGCGTTGGGTGAAATGTACTCTAGTCGAAAACGAAGGACGGTCGATCAACATGTACCGGGAACAGACTACTTCCTGCATGCGGTTGGTCTATTGCAAGATCTGTATGAAACCCCTTCAGTGGAACAAGTAGAAGTCATGATTCTTTTTGTAAGCCCATACATTCCAAGCTTCTCTGCGCTCGAAAGGTTGGTGGCTTTGCTGACAGTAATTTCATAGTGCTTTTATTCAAACGCGCTAGGACGCGTCAAAACAGCGTACACCTATAGCGGCATTGCTCTGAGAATGGCCCTTGGATTGGGCCTTCATCGAAGTCTGCCCACAGATACCAAGCTATGCCCGGTGGATCGTGAGCACCGGAAGCGCGTCTGGTGGACCCTTTACACGCTCGACCGACTATGCAGCTCCAACCTCGGTTACCCTTTGCTTATAAGTGATGCTGTGATTGATGTTGAGCTTCCAACAAATGAAGGCCTTACTCCAGCGGAGTTGGACGAATTTACCGATCCCAGCCACCTAGTCGCAAACGTTAAGCTGGCGAAAATCACAGGGCAAATCCGTAAAGGTGCCCTTCCCTTTCAGGCCATCGTCCACATCACTGATGAGATTTGTTCTAGTTAACGACATATATTGCCTCCCACAAAGAAATACAGAAATCTTTGTACAAAGGGTGCATCGAATTCTTTTGAGTCTGCGAAAATGGAATGATGAACTCCCATCAATGCTACAACTACGCCAAGAGCATTTACCTCGAAACATTTCCAGTCTTCATCTTCATTATAATCAATGTGTGATTTCGACAACCCGTCCGATTCTATTATATCTTTTCAAAAATCGCTTTTCACTGAGCGCTACATCTTCCGAAGCCCCGCCCAGGGTATTTTCCCCTACTACCCTCGCCCTGGCAGAAAGCTGTGTGCAGGCCGCACGGGCGTCGAATTATATCTTATCAAATCTGTTTGTTGAAGGATCTCTAGCGTCATTTGGATACTTTGATGCGCACTATCTTTTCTCCTCCACTCTCATCTTGGTCATGTCTGCAGTGATGGACCCAAACGTGGGCATGTCAGATTCTGTCTCATATGCTTTCACTATACTCCGAGCTATGAAAGAAGATGGCAATCTTCCTAGCTTTGACTACTATGAGAGACTACAGCGTACGCGAGCAAGTATTGGAAAGATGAGAGAAGCCAACGAAGCAAACTCCGGTGTATCCGCGGCTCCCAATGGAAGCACAACGCCACAGGAACAACTGCTTCACGATGCCGATGCATCGACCCTCGGCTTAGGGTTTGTGGACGGAGTTCCCTTAGATCATCCTCTTATAGATAGCTTTCTAGCAGATAAAGCCTTCGTATGGCCAGACGGAATGATCCCCCAGGATGACTCTGTAAGAGACCTGGCGTGTGAGCTAGGAGATGAGTTTTTGTTTGGTCCGGCCTGATTTTGTTGACTTCAACACGAATATTATTTTCAGACCTTCTTTCACCTGTGACGGGTGATGAATCCTTCGTTACTGATGAATATTCCCAATTGATAAGCCTATCTCAAGCCTATCTCAAGATATCGGTGGCCCATCCGAAGATCATCCCGATCTCTCGGTAAGAACGCCGAACTCGGGCAATGTACCCGGCCTGACCTACCTTGGGCGCAGGCTGCGTCATATTTCCAAATATGTTTGCTTGATCCGATTGACGGCCGAGCTTGCCGAATTACTGGGTCGCCGGCTCAATCGTGATTAGCCCGATTAATTGAAGCACCCAAGTGCTCAATAGTCTACTTTGATTGTCAAATCTACTCGCATATAATATTCGCCTTGAAGGTTACTACTTTTACAATTTAAAGCAGAAGTTCTCGACTGGCCGACATCGCCTTCCATATATGAACTATATCTCATTCCATGATGGCTTCTGCGGTTGTCACTCTGCTTGGGCAGCTCATGCAAATCCCATCTATCAGCAACGAGGAACACGATATCGGTTTGTTTCTTGAACACCACCTACAGAACTTACGCTATACTGTTGAACGTATTCCAATCAGTCCGGATAGTCGCCGTTGCAATGTCTACGCCTACTTAGGCTCATCACGCAAAACTCGAATTTGTCTCACATCTCACATGGACACCGTTCCTCCGCACATCCCTCTGAGACTGACGCCAAATACAATTTACGGGCGGGGCTCATGCGATGACAAGGGCCCGTTAGCTGCTCAGATCATTGCACTGGAAGAGTTACGTGTTGAAGACCGTGTCCAGCCTAGTGATGTATCGCTTCTTTTTGTCGTGGGAGAGGAAAAGGGTGGACCGGGAATGATCGCGGCTAACTCAATGAATCTGTCATGGGATGCTGTCATATTTGGCGAGCCGACCGAAGGAAAACTCGCAGTGGGACATAAAGGGCATTTCGTTTTTGAGCTCACAAGTGAGGGAGTTCCTGCGCACTCGGGCTATCCGCAACAAGGGCGGAGCGCAATCTCCGTGATGACTGCTGTTGTGGCAGCGCTTGAGCGAACAACGTACCCATCATCAGACATAATTGGACCGTCCACCTTTCATTGTGGTCAAATCACGGGGGGTGTCGGATACAATATCCTTGCGGCTGAATGCACGGCTCTATGTGCGATCCGAGTTGCAAGCGACTTACCCGGGATTGAGCGATTAGTGGAGGCTATTGTTTCAAAACATGATCATGTCCGCCTGAATAAGAAATTCATGTACCCAGAGCTTTACTTAGATCACGATGTACCGGGTATGGGCGTGATGCCTGTTGCATTTGGGACTGACGCTCCGCGGTTGAAGGGAGAACATAAGAAGTACCTCTATGGACCGGGCTCTATCTTGGTTGCTCACGGGGATAAGGAGAGTATCGAAATTGGGGAGCTTGTTGAGAGTGTTCAGGTGTACAAGCGGATCGTGGAGCACTGTCTTCATGAGTAACAAGCGCATGCCGAACGTTACCGATCTACAAAGTCGGCAACAGGAGCATCTTGCCGAGATGAGATAAGGGACGTAGTTTCAATTAGGATATACATTACTTCTCTATACCACTCTTACTTTGTCCTAGCAGATTCAGAATCACAATTTGAAATGAGACATTCGTCAATCCTCAGCGATCTACCCGTCCTTCCGTTGGCCGAGTCATTTGCGTTGACGGAGGCCTACAATTTCGATACATTCCTATTAAGCGCAAGGTTTACCCCTATTATGACATCTTAACGCGGTCACTCCACTTCCATGGCATGATCGCCGAGCTAGAAAACTGCGCAGAAGAAAACGACGTGGTGATCTCACACGCTTATGCATAACCCAACAGGAATTGATCCGACATACCCAATGGAGGAAAATTGCGAAGATTGTTGCAAAAAATGTCTCATGAAAAATCACTTTGACGCAACGAAAAATAAAAACATACAACAGTGAGGATTCGCTGGTGGTCACCCACCCAACTACTAACTCACCGGCGTGTGGCTTAAGTACGGCTGAGCGGACGGGAAGCCCTGTTTTCCACACCCTATGGTCGTATGTATCATGTTATGATTGGGAGAAAATGATATAATGCAAGGAGTTGGGTGGTTGAGTGGTGGTGAACAGGCGCTGAATGGGCTATTTCGGTGTCGAGAAGAGCGGGTATAAACAGGACAGGAAGCTGGGCAAGAATCAACCTCGCGCGACCGTTGTGACCATTTAGCCCGAGAGAGTATTACAAACCGCTGCAGGCAAGGGTCATCATGGGATAATGTTACTATGTGCTATGGTTCGGATCTTCTGGGTCCGTTGGGCAAGTATCAGATCCGGGAGTTCGGATTACGGTCACAGGCATTGTCGCCTTTAGATATAATGCAATGTGCGACCATCAACCTGGCTAAGATGATGGGTCAGCCTCGATTGGGCCAGATCAAGCCCGGCTTTTTCGCGGACCTGCTCGTTCTAAAAAATAACCCACTCGAGGACATCACTGTTTTTGAGCGTTTCGGAAGAGGAACTCCAGCTCGTGGTGAAAATTTCTTGTCGAGTTTATACTGTCGAATTCGAACGAATATTGTATTATCGCACCATAACAACATCATTTCAACAGAGAGATTGTTAGGGCTACTGGCAAAGAACTATAGGGGAGAGAGAAGAACAGGAAATTGGAGCAAAGAGCGAAACCTATCTATCACTCTCTAAGAGCTTCTGTCAACTGGAAGTCCGCCCGAAAAGACAGAAATCAGTAGCAACATTGAATTGAGAACGACAGGTGTATCCTTGTTACGGTATTACAAACTGTCTTCCAGGCCGTGGCACGCATTATCTGCATGAACTAAACATTCAATTCCTTTACTAGATCTATGCCAACTGTAAAAAGGCAGTCTCAAAAGCCGCCAAAAGAGGAGCGATATGAGATTCCTCAAAGATTAGCATGGGGCGCAACCGAACGGTTTGAACACCGCAGCTCCCGATATTGATGCCCAACTCGCGCATCTTTTTTAGCAGAGTGCTTGAATCAGGCGTGTCAAAGGCAATATATGTGCCCTTATTCTTGCCACGGAGGCTCTGAATCCGGTTGGGATACTTGGCTGCCAAGGTAGCCAGGCTGTCGTAGAGAACTGCACCAATTTTGGCCTGCCGAAGAAAAAATATTGTTAGGCTTAGGTGCTTAAGTCTTCACCGGATAGGAAGGGTGAGGCTTACCGTCTTGCTCACCAGATTCTTGCTGAGAATCTCGTCAATGACGGCATTGCAGATGATGATTCGGGCGGCATCTCCCATCCATCTGGTTAATGTGGTCAGCTTATCTTCTTCCCCTCAATAACTATGGGACTTTCGAATTCGGTATATCTCACGTGTTGAATTGTCGATAGGCCTTGTCGGGGCGAAGATTCTCATCGCTGAAGAAGTATCCAGCGGTTTGGGCCTTCTTAGAGAAGGTCACAATATCCACGGGAGAGGGCAGCGCCCAATGCTCATGCGCCCAAAATTTGCCTGTTGCTCCAAAGCCTGTCTGGACCTCATCGACAATCAGAGTAATTCCATGTGCCTTGGTTATGGCCTGGAGCTTCTGGAAGAAGCATGGCGAGGCATGGTTGTCACCACCTTCGCTTTGAATGGGCTCAACAATAATACCAGCCACTGGGCAGTGCCAGGAAGAAATGATATTTCTAACCTCTTGCAGGCACCGCACCTCTTCTTGTGTGTTCTCTTCAATGTGGGCTTCCAAGGGATATTTGAGCTGTGGGAAAGTGGCCTGGGGCCACTTGAAAGCCGGGATGTCTACCTTGTGGATGGGTTTAGAGCGGGTGGTGGACAAACTGCCAAAGCTGCGACCATGGAATGAGTTGCGGAAGCTGAGAATAGCCAGATCGGGGGAACCAGGAGCCTGGTTTTTCATTGCTGTCGCCTGCTCATGCTCGGTCCAAGGGCTGCCGGCTCGTTGTTGCCGACGATAGCCCATGAAAGCTGCCTTGAAGGCGAGATCATTGGCCTCGGACCCTGACTGCGCTGGGAACACCTGTGTGCACCCTGGAGGAGCTGCCCGCATCAGACCTTCGCGCAATAGGGCAAGCCATCGGTGGGAAGGGAAATTTCCAACAGCTGGGCGGTTGACCAGGGCAGAGACCATTTCTGGTGATTTTGCGGCTTTAATCAAAGTGGGATTGTTGTATCCGATGGGAATAGAGGCGATCTGCGCATACACGTCAAGGTAGGTGTTGCCGTCAACATCGGTGATGCTAGAAGAAAAGAACCGTCAGGAAATGCGCCAAGAGGGACAAAGTAGATTATTGACTCACTAGTTTCCAATGCTCTGATCATAATCAATGACCATCTGCACAGTGCGGGCATCAATGACAGCATCTAAATCCTCTTTGATTCGGTGCGTCCCAGGTCCGGGGACTGCTGTGCGGATTGAGGGCGCGGTGGGTTCAGATACAAAAGACATGATGAAAAAGAAAAAGAAAGAAGAGAAGTGACCACAAAAAGATAACAGAGCTCCGTTATCGATATTGTCTCGAACGAAAAACCCTGAGGGTAGTGACTCGATGCGCTTATATACGCCTCGATGCACATAGCCAACCGACTCGGACCGGGTACGCAGCCTGAAAGCTGGTGGAGACAAGAGAAAGAAGAAGAAAATCGGTCACTAGGTAGTAATTTGCACACACCAATGAATACCAGTGCTTGTAGATGAGTGAAACTTGCCGATCTAAATTTTTTATATAAGATTGTGCGCATATAGATAGCCGGGTGATGGCACCCGGGAAGAATACTGATGTTCGGCAATATTATAACCGGACATATTTTCTTTTTTTTCAGTATGATGACACAAGATATTACATATTATGTGAATGTATTCCTCTTCTTTGCTGTTAATACCATCAAAGGCCGGGATTCTCTTGTCGCCGCCCTCAAGCTTGAGCTCTAGAAACTCGCCGAAGTATCATGCCTATCCCATCAAATAGGTGCTTTTTTTATTACCGAAGAAAAGGTAATGGATCTTGCTGACTTCGGGAGTATCATTTGAGCTGCCTAATATTCCAGGCCTTTATCCAGCATCAGGGCATAAAGAGTAGGGTTAGTCCCCATTTCCATGCTAATTTTAACCATCTTTCTTCTTCATATTGTCTTTCTACTTCTCCTTTGTTTTATCTAAACATATATCCCTTTTCAATATAGCGAAACATAAATAGCAACACGCGTTTACTTCCATAGGGGTGAGAGGACGAGGCGGCGACACGGTGCGCTGAACATCCAATGCAAGTTACTTGAGAAAGCATTACAATTAGAGTACAGGAATCTGGATCTTCCTTTGTACCAAAATGCCTGTTGGGATTGGAATCGACCGCGAATTAAAATCTAGGTCTGGCCCGAGTCTTGGGCCATTCTTTATCCCACGAATGACCGCTCATACTCTCCGTGTCAGAAGCCAAGTCTACTCAACTTAGAATATTCCACCCAAGGTGATGCTCTTGACATTCACAAATTCCTCGATTCCATACTTGCTTCCTTCGCGGCCAAATCCGCTCTCCTTCACGCCACCAAATCTGCAAGATCAATGGTCGCGTTAGCCAGTGATTAGATAGAGAATTAGGGGGGATGCTTACGGAGCAGCGACATCACTGACAGAACCAGTGTTTATACCCACCATACCGACCTCGAGAGCTTCCGCTACGCGGAAGACTCTCCTGATGTTATCACTGAAGATATACGCTGCCAGCCCAACCTCGCAGCTGTTGGCTAGCTGGATAACCTCTTCCTCGGTATCGAAGGGGAATAGGGCTGCCACGGGCCCAAAGATTTCTTCAGAGGCAATGCGCATATCATGGGTCATGTCAGCCAAGACTGTAGGCTGAAAGAAAGTGGGTCCTAGCTCATGAATTGGGCTCCCACCCAGAAGGACACGAGCACCTTTAGATTTAGCGTCGGCAACGTGATCGGAAACCTTTTTTACAGCTGTGGCATGGATGAGAGGCCCATGGGTGACACCATCGTCGAATCCAGGTCCGACTTTGAATTTCTTGATGCGCTTAACAAGTAGCTCCGCGAAGGCTTCATAGTGGGATCGGTGGATGTAGATTCGATTAGCGCAGACGCAGGTTTGTCCAGTACCTCGGAACTTGGACACGAGAGCGGCATCAACCGCGGTATCGATATCTTCCACGTCACCAAAGACAATGAATGGAGCATTGCCGCCAAGTTCCCAAGAGACTCGCTTCACACTAGAAGAGGCATACCCCATTAGGAGTTTGCCCACACGGGTTGAGCCTGTAAACGAGACCTTCTTGATATCAGGATGAGTTGTAAGAGTGTGGCCGACCTCAGGGGTATTCTCTAGCGCAGTTACAATGTTTACCACGCCTTTAGGAATACCCGCTCGACGGGCTAGTTCCGCGAGGGCATTAGCAGTAAATGGAGTCTCCCCGGGGCTTTTCGCGACAACCGTACAGCCAGCCGCCAATGCCGGACCGATCTTACGGGTGATCATGGCTGCAGGGAAGTTCCATGGAGTGATCAAGCCGCAGACACCCACAGGTTCCTTGACTGTTAAAACTCGGTTACCAGGAACAGATGTAGGAATCGTATCGGCGTACAACCGGGGGCTTCCTCGCTAAACCATTCAATGAAAGCTGCAGCGTATTTGACCTCACCTTGCGCCTCGGCAAACGGTTTCCCATTCTCCCAAGTTATCAAAGTCGCCAAGTCGTCCACGTTTTGTAGGATGAGGTCATTCCAACGCCTCAGTAGTCGAGACCTTTCGCGTACCGGCGTCTTGCGAAAGACCGGAAATGCATCTGAGGCTGCCTTGATGGCTCTCTCGGTGTCTTTTGCGGTGAATTCTGGGCATGTTCCGATGACTTTGTCGGTGGCTGGGTCTGATCATCCATTGTCAGAAGCTTATCTAAACAGGCTGTGTAGGTTCCCTACCAGTGACCTTAAAGATCTTGCCCGATTGGGCCCCAACCCATTCGCCGTTGATGTGGCATTTTCCAATGAACAAAGACTTGTCTTTCAACTGAAGCCACGGGTCAAACTTGGAATCCTAATTCAAAGTAATAGCAAACCGAGTCCTTGACTTACTTGTGGTACCGTATGAGTCATGCTGAATGTTCGTGTTCTTGGTTGGCGATGTGAAAGCCGTAAAAGGTTAAGGGTGACGAGACGCATGTAGTATCTGGGAATGTGTGAGTTGCCTTGTATGCGATAGAGGAGCAGATATCCTTAAGTTTCATTTATAATTTACACTACGTATGTATTTTATTATGTTTCTACCTAGTTGCCGGCTTCTTTGGCAATGCCGGTGGACTCGGGCCGAGCTTAGATACAAGTCAGTGACAGCCATATACTCGGCTATAATTCCGTTAAATTAGTGGGACATAGTAGGGTTCGGTGGAACACTAGGTGAACAATTCAATCCGGCTTGCTAGGACTTACTAAGTTACACGCTCCCGTTTTGTCCCTGTTTCGATAATGCGATGTCCTGGACTCGGGTGCATGTACCCGGCAACCTCTGAGTGGCGATGTCACCGGCAAAACACCGTGCAAATCGTTCCGTGTAATTGTCGGCTAGTACAGTACGCTGTCGAATCAGAAGAACTATTCGTATTTATTCGGACTAGTGTAAGCTTTTCATCTAGCAAGATACGCTTTTGTTTCAATTTGAAATCAACAATTCCTACGCAGGAGTTTACGAGCTTTCAGGTCGATAGCCTTATTAGCAGAACTCCGAACGCTACTTAAGATAAATTATGTGATAACGATAGTAATATAGTAATGCATTTGTTGAGTGAAGAAACTGAGTAGGTGAAAGACTATCCATAGAGATTATGAGATATTGGACCATATGGATGAGGCACCGAGGCCACCATCCAAACAGTTTATTGACACGGAATACAATAATGACAGTAGATGGATTTCATTAAATTACAAGATCAATCCCACTAGTCGAATAATAGAAATATTGTGGACAATCGATGAAGATAACCCGGAAAACGATTAGTCTCCTGGGCGCGCTTTGAAGAGCACTCAATGCACCGTTCTATTTTGAATAAGAAATTGCTGCTCACGCAAACAAAGATAGAAAGAATTGTTTCTTTCGAACACCAGGTAGCTAGAGAGATATCACTTCGTGCACCAATATCTACTGTCCAGCCTCATATGCCTTGGCCATGTCACCCATAGTGTCAAACCGCCAATCATAAATATTATCCGACAAGTTTCCCATGGTGGCACCGGGCCGCTCAATCCAAGCAGACTTGATTCCAATCTTGCTGGCAGGATGATGGTCGTGGAACTGGCTCTGGGCGGTTTGGAGGACCTGTGAGGGCTCAATGTCGAATGTCGATTTCACCGTTCTGAGCATGTATTCGAAGTTGTGAAGATCGGGCTTATAGAAGCCTACATCTTGAGCAGTGATAATCAAATCGAAGGGGAAGCCCTCTAGGCTGCCTGCGTTTGTCTTCGCGAACGATGCACGATCAACATTCGATAGAACCACCAACTTAAAATGCTTGGAGAGACGCTTGAGAGCATCAACGGTATCTGGGAATGCAGGCCAGCTGCCGACTGACTCTCCAAATCGGTTGCTTTCCTCTTGGGAGGGGATCTCCAGACCCAGACGCTTGGCGAGCTTGGGATGCACAGTTGTCAATAACTGATGGTATGGCATATCGGGAGTCTTGCTCTGCTGCTCGCGCTCTAGCTCGTGGTAGACAGTGAGCAGATGTTCGCGTGAGAACTGAGCAGTATTCTTGTCCAGTGTGGGCTGGAATGCAGCGAGAATGCCTCCCTCCCAATCGACGAGGGTACCGTAGACATCAAAGGAAAGCACGCGGTAGTCGGAAAGTTGAGTCATGGTAAAGATCTGGTTGCGATTGTGATAAAATCAGTGGCACGATAAATGGATAAATTGAAGCTCGAAGAAAGATGGCCGTTGCCTTTTAATCGTACCCTTCTGGGTACTGAGACCCGAGATGCTGACATCATAGCCCTGGCCCGACGGTGAAGCTTGTCGGGCTATCAAACCACGATGACAGTACTCTTATTGTCACTAGAAACCTCCAAAAGGTCCCGAGCCCTTTCCTGCCTTATCTTTCCATTTATCCGTTTCTTGTGTATACCGCCGCAACGGAACAAGTGGAGCTCTCTTTCATCTAAATCGCTACTTTTCATTCATTCATTGATAAACATATCACGTCTTGTCAAATGATATTGATAAGAACCTATTAAAGATAGCCTAGGGATAATCGAGAGAGATTTCTTCGCGTAAACCATCTGAGTTCGAGAACAAAATACTATTTACAATAGCCATTCGGTATTCGGTAATCCTACCTAGTAATCCTACCTAGCAATCCTACCCAGACACTGCTAATATTTCTACCTCGCCCTTGAGAGCCCTTTGGACCTCTTCAATCATGCCGGCCTCTATAGCCCCTTCTTGCCAGGTGAAGCCCAACGCCAGTCTTCCATCCCGCCCTGTCACGGCACTGACCTTGATCGCGGCGCTGCACGCACTAGAGCTCTGGCTGAACAACATACTCTCAATTTCAAAGTTCATTCCTCCTCGCAAAGTAGAACTTGCCCCAACGTTGGATAACTCAAATGAACTCATTCTATTCCGGCCCAGTTTTTGTAGCATCCAGTGGTGCTGGTTTCGAATGAATGCCAAGTATCCAACCGGCATGTCACCCCCTTTCTGTGCCATGGCATGTTCGATGGCCACCTTGGTACGGCGAGCCTCGTTCCAATCAAAAGATGGCTTTCTGCGGTACGTTGTGGACAACGATCCGACATAACAACCCAAAGTGCTCGCAGTGACCGGCTCTGGCAGAAATTTTCTTAGGGATACTGCACAGTCACCTTGTAGTGTATGATATTTTGACGGAAGAACAGAAAAAATGCAGGTCGCGATGAGCACTTGAAGCGTCGCCGTGATGGAGACCTGCTCCTTCTTACTCAATGCAATGAGGGCTCTTGTGTCAACCTCAGATAGCCATAAAGAAGAAAAGTGCGTCTTTACAGGCGTGAACTGAGGAGCAGCCGTCCAGCTATCGGGTGATGGCTCGCTATACTTCTCTTGGGATTGCAAGAATTCTTGTGACACAGGGAGTGTATATAAACTCTCTAGTGGAGGAATAAGGGCATCAGAAGGACTATAAACTGTATCGCTTGGCTCAATTCCGGTATATTGAGCCATGTATCCTTCTAGTTCATCGTGGAACGAAAGAGCGCTTTTGGTGTCCATGAGTGAATGGTGAAATATGAACACCAGGATAAAGCTTCTGGGACAACTGCTCCACTCCAGAACGCGTAATCTCCAGAATGGAAGGGACCCTTTTGGCTGAATTTCGAAGGGGCAATTGTGTTGGTCCTGAAGGACCTTGTCGAGGATCTCTGTCCAATCCGAGCTCGGAGAATTCGCTTCATCTTCCATGAAGGTCACAACTTCACTCAGTGTAATCTTAGGAAGACGGACAAAATAAGGATTTGGTGTATCAATAGCAAATGGAATGGCCGAAAGTATAGGGTGCTTCGAGATGAGCATTGAGAGAGCGTGGAAGAGTGCCGGTTTCACAGGTACTCCGCTTGGTCGCTTATAGCGGGCTGTCAGACCCACGTTGAGATAGATCCCTAAATGACTCCGCGTTGTTGAATATTTTTCCGCATGTCCTAATGGCTATCAGGAGTTGAAAGTTCAAGGAAGTAAACATCCTTACCTAGTAGCCGTAGTGGCGGAAACCCTCCTTCGTGGAATACTTCATACATGGCGATGGAGAAAGAAAAGAGGTATAAAGGGGCCTGTTGCAATAGTTCTGAAGCAAGAGCTATCGCTGGCTTTCATGCTATTATCCCGTAATACTAGTGGGATCTAGGGCTTTTTAGACTCCCGACCCGGGTACGCGTACCCGTGTCACGCGGGCCAAAAGCGATACCTCACAGAGCAATTGTTGTCCCAACTTAGACGCAACGAAGCATTGCCTGCCAATATTGCGGGGTTATTTGTTCATATGCCTGCATTTTTAGTAAGAAGACGAATAGAGATATATTAATATTGCGCATGTATCATACGATGGGCAAATCTGGATTAAATGTTCTAACCCATACTAGTAAACTCAAATGCAAAAAAAAAGAAAATTCTAAATATAATTGCAACCTCGACTGGCTTTCTCGTCAAGGATATGTTTGACTGATGAAAGCTCATTTTGGTCCATAAGCTATACATTTCTTTCGTCGCAGGCGTTCCGAGGCTATTTGTTATCTCTTATCGTTTATCGCTTATCCATGGATCAAAACGTCGCTTACGTCATGTATGCCTACCCCCAATTACGAACACCACGATGGTAGGTAGCCGTTGTCCTTCACCACCTTCATTTTTACGTGCCTGGAACATCTAGGTTCTTGTCCTGCGCTGAAATGACTGAGCCAAGCACCAAGATACGCAAGGGCAGGCAAAGGCGACCCCGTGTACCTGAATCGCTGCGAAAGAGGGCGGCACAAGCGTAAGGACACGCCATATATTGATCAACACAAAGTTCCAATAGGGCTAACTGTCTGCGGCTCAGATGTGTGCCTTGTCGCCAGCATAAAGAGAAATGTACCTTGTCACTCACTTTATTGTCACAACTTGGGCATGTGACCACCTTTGCACACCACTGACTGATCCAACTGAAAAGGCGGAGGTGGCAATCCTTGTGCTCGGTGCCAACAGCACCGAAGGACATGCCGTTTTGATAGTCCTGGTCACCGACAAATACCAGAAACCCGGCGTGACCCATTAGGGTGAGCCTCTTTCAATAATTTTGCTGCACCTGGAATCAATAACTCATCTTTCTAGAAGTGATGGGGAGCCGCTAGAACGGCACACCAACGAATTTCAAATGAAGCGAATTATCACTCACTTCTTGGGTGACGTCTCTTTCGAGACCAGCAGTCTCCAGAAAATTGCAGACACCCTAGATCAGGGTCAGCAGCAGTCGGATAGCGATTCAGTCGATTCGAACGATGCTACCCCGACAAATGACTACTCTATAGATCCTCTTTCGACTAGCACAATGCGTATGTCGCTATCCTGAGTTTGAGTTTTACCCAGTTGACATGATTCCAAAGATTATTCGGGGGAGTTGTCCCATTGGAACTTCTCCAGAATGCTCGGACGACGCCTACAAAGTCTTGGGGAAAGGACAGGGCAAAGCAAGGTAGGCCCAGTGAGCTCTGCCATTAACTTGCCAACAAGGACTTCGGTGAAATTTGTGATGTACGCTGCTAATGAAGGAACTTCAGAGTCTAGACCAGGCTGAGGGTTTCTTTCGGGCTACTGCTCTGCAATCAGCTGGCTCTTGTGTCGCCCTTGCTAAAACTTATTTTCCGCCAAAACATATCGCGGAATTCTTGACAAGCGCTTTTTTGAAATTCAGCCAAACGAATTATTTTTATTTTCACGAACCTACTTTCCGCGAGAAACTGAACTTCTACTATGCCACTGACCACACGCTATCAATCAATGACGCTGGCTGGATATGCACTCTTCTCATGACTTTCGCAATTGGCACGCAGTTTGCCGATATGCAGATCAAATCAATACCTGGTAGTAGTGCCTCTGCTACTGAAACTAGTCCTGATGACCACATAGGGTTGGAGCTCTATCGGTTTTCATGTCGACTCATTCCGGATCTTATCACAGTTGCAAGTGTGGAGACTGTCCAGGCCTTTTTACTTCTGGGTGTGTATACTTTGCCGATCGACACAGCAGGTTTGGCGTACATTTACTATGGCCTCGCGATTAAGATGGCAATTCAAAATGGTATGCACCGCAAGCTATTTGAAGGCAACGTAGCCCCAGAGATTGTTGAGGTGCGAAATCGCCTTTGGTGGTCTGCATATTCGCTGGAAAAGTAAGAATTCTCCAGCTAGGCCAGCATCTCCCAATATGAAGACTAAAACGTTCTAACTGCTCGGAAAGTCGCATCGGTATTCTACATGGCCGCCCTTTATCTGTGTCTCCTGCCGAAATCGATACCCCCATGCCTGTCGATCTTCCGGCTCTACGACCAATTGACCAATTGACCAACCTACCCAACTTCACCGCTACGATCGTCTTGACGAATCATTTGGCAAAAGCCGCGGAAGCGATGAGGTCTCTGCGACGTTGCCGGAGGGCCAAAAAGAAGAAGTACCTTCGGCAACTTGCCGCAACCCGCGATCGACTAAGCTCATGGTGGGAAAGTCTCCCCACTGAGATCCACTGCCGACATCTGGCTCCTGCCGGAGCATACTTTCGTTGCAATGTGCACCTTGAAATCTATTACAGGACAACCTTGATCTATATGGGCCGTCCTTTCATCATATCTCAAGCAACATCTGGGTCATTCAACCTGGACTCGGGCTCAACCATGCATGAAGTCCCAGATATCGTGAACACTCTTCGACGAGACTCACTTCATGCGGCGCTTAGAGTGATCGAGCTTTGTCAGCTTTTACAAGACTCTGTCGGCCTCGCGCGTGTCTCATATACCGAATTTAATGGGTGCCGCGTTGCTCTATTGGCTCTCATTGCCCATAGCATCAACGAACCAACGAGCAGGATATCCAGTGTCTTGACTCAAGGTATGGGGCTCATCCGTCAGATCTGTCCCGGGCTGGAATCCGCGCGATCTGAAGTGGCTGTCATCGAAGCGCTTGAACGCGCAAGGCAACGGCTTCATAGTCATACCGTGGAAGGGCAGAGCGGCGTGACAGATCATACAACAGGCTATGATCAATTCAAAGAATGGGCAAAACTTTGGCGAGGAGATCCGCTGGATGGTAGCGATGTCCTCGTCTCGACAAATTTGGAGATGCCGTCTGAACAGCGCTCTCCCAACTCTGTTCCTTCTTTTGATGGATTCTTCTCATCTTTTCCCAATGAGCTGGGTGAATTCACCGCCATCCCGGGGCTAAATTACGATTTGTCACTAGCCCAGGAATGGTTGGGTGGCCCTCAACCTGAAGATTCCGAATGGTTCATGAATCAACCACTCTGATAGTAGAGCGCTCTCATATTATGCATGAGCCGTTTTCGAAGGCAAATAGACACATCCTAGGAAGGTTCTCATCAGACTTGATGTTGTTTTATTTATTATATGGAGGCATAGTCTATCATTTTGCCCACCTCGAGAAAAAGCAGGTAGCGATAGTAATAATATTTTTCGGCTGCGACATCTCCCAGCTCTTGGCTGCCATTTTTTTATTTTATAATTTTGCCTTGATGGTATTGTAGTATCGCTGGGACTAGGTTCCGCTAGGGGGTTTCCCCCCCCCTCTTTTCTTTTGTTAAACTCGAAGCTACCACGCACAGTAAACATTCTGGTTATGCTCTACAAGTATTGGTGGGTATAGGAAATGCTCAAGTTGTGGGGATTTTGCTTGAGGCAGTTGAAGATTCCAATGCTTCTTCAGCAGAGTTGAGACGTGATAGGATTATCTACGGATCGGGGCCACGACGAGGTCCTCGAGGTTGTCCACGGGTACTTGGGCGAATTTAAGATATGTGTCTGGAATCGCCTAAAGTGAAATATAAATGCTAAAAAGCAAATGTTGACCTTGTGAAAAAATAGTATTTATAAGACTCAATCTATACATTAATGACTAGTTATACAATTATACCCCACCTGGGCAGCTAACTACTCATTTCCTTATTCAATAGTAAGTCGCCTCATCTCCATACAAAGTCGATCCAGCGTGAGGCTGCTTCACGATACCAGCTTCCACCAGCTCATTGATCAGGTTGAAGACCATCAGATCACAGCCGTGAGGTGCGATGAAATCCACTGCGACAGGCAGGTATTCCTGCTGCAGGGTAATGGTAGAGTTGTAGAGCGCTTGGCCGACTAAATTATAATTTTTATTAGTTATAGTCCCAAATTAAACCTCTTGGAGGCTTTGTTCAAGTAATGGCGGGTTGAACGTACTCGGAACGACCATATCGGGCACACCAGCAAAGTTGGCGATACGAGACGTAGCAAATCCTACCGGGGCACCTGGCATGCTATATCATTCCAACGCGGTTAGCAAACAGTCTCGCAAATATCCTAGAATGCGGGAAAGGACAAGCACATACCTCCGGTAAGTATTGCGGTAGACTGGTGTCGCTTCAGTTCCAATGTAAAGAATCAAACTGTCTGAGCAAGTCTCCTCGTCGAATACCTGGGCAGTTGTGTTCCACCAGTTGGTAAAGATGTTCTTGTGTTCGATTTCAGTCTCCAGTTGCGAGTCCGGGTATCCAAGTCCCCAACCCCAACGGGACAGAGGCACGGGGTCGATAAATGGCTTGCGACCTCCATTGGCAGCCGCGTAGGCTGAATATAGCGGTTCAGCAACGAGAGGATACTGCTGCTTCGAAATGAGGATAGGGTAAGTGAGAGGCAACATGGTGTCGAGGGTAGTATTGGCGGCAACAGTCGAAGGCTTGGTGGATTCCCAGAGAGCATCGTAATCAAGTGCAGAAACATTCGCACCACCCAAAAAGGACGATAGCTTGTCCACAAAATTGATCAAAAGGCCCTCAGCTGGGGTCGAGGCATTGGTTGGGAACTCAATCGTCTTGATAGACTTGGGGTACTTGGTGTAGGATTTCAGGCCTGCATCCTTGTACAACACCTCCGCAGCAGCGCGCCACAATTCCACATCTCTTGTCAAGAATCCGGCCGTGTCCAAAAGCGGAGACATGGGCATAACCTTATCCAAAGAGACCAAGTTCCACGAGGGTCGGTTGCCGAAGCATCCATTCACCTGCGAAGGGTTGCGAATTGAGCCTCCGGTATCACTTCCAATTGCCAAATCCAACCAGTCATAAGATCCAATACCAGAGCCAGGACCGGACGATGATGAGCTAGGATCCTGGTACCCGTCACCGCGGGCGTTGAAGGGGGAGTGGTAATCAACCCAATCAGCAGTGGCGGTCTCGCCATTGGCAAATTGACTGGTCTTCATCTTTCCGACAATGATGGCGCCCGCATTAATGAGGGATTGAACTGCAGGGCCGGTAGAGTTAGCGGCTGGGTACGTTTCATAGTAAGCGCGGTTGCCACAGCCTGTTTTGACACCCTTGATATCATAAATATCTTTGACACCGAGACGAACCTATCAGTAAATAATAGTCAGTATTGCATGTCTCTTGCACAAGGGCCCCTCTTGTGAAAAGAGTGGAGGGTGGAGAACACATACACCAGCCAAAGGCTTATCCGCTGTCTTGGTATAGTACAGCCGTGAAGGAACACCAATGGTCAACGACGCATAGCCCTGCAAGCTTGCCGGCAAAACATCATACTCATCGTCACCAACTGGGAGCAATCCCTGAGTGAAAGAGCCCATCACATCGGAATATAATAGCCAGGCTTCAAAAACGGCTCCACTAGACGGATCCAAGAAATATGGACCAGCAGGCAGGGTCGATGATGAGATCACTGTCTTTGATTTCTTGGTACCATATGCAGATGCGTATCCCAGGATTTTAGGGCCCCATGAAGAATGGGTTGACACATTCTCTGAGGGTTTCTTGGAGGTACCGTTATACTGGACGTAGATGTTGTCGAGGAACCCAGCGTTAAAGACATCGTCAGCAGACTCGTAGGTGCTCACTACTGAATCAAGGATTGAGCTTGTCAGCTTCAAGACATCGCTCCGAATGACCGTCAGAGGTTGCAAGCCATTGAGTTTGCCGAACACGTGCGCATCAGCTTTCAGGGTTGCTACTACTGTCGGGGGAATGTAGTAGATGTGTCCATTGAGTTCAACGGTTTGACCCTTCGCAGTGATTGTCGCAATGGCGGTGGTGGAGAGTGACAGCAGGGCTGACAACAGAGCTGATAGCCCATAAGAACCAGTAGAAGAGACCATGATGATTGACCCAGACACTCCACACCACACTAGGGATTGATAGTTTGCAAAAAGGTACTCTTATCAAAAGCAGGGACATAATCTAGCCATATATATACGTTCCACTACCACCTATTACTTATCTCAAGTTTGTTGCATTCGGCTATCGAGAGTACTTTCAACGATAAGGAGATCAGGTGAAAACGTGCATGACCAATTTAGGCTACCTGATTTTAATGGATCAAAAGGGACTAGCCAGGAGATTAGTTCTCTTAGTATAGCTGTCGGAGATTATTAGCCCGTTTCTTATCTTTCCCCAAGGCTGTATGTCGGCAATTCACTGATAAGTCGAGTCATACTTGGAGGAATCATGGTTGCCATTGGCTCCGGGGAAATAAGCTTAACCTGGTAAGGTTAGTTAAATCCCCACCCACGTTTTCGTGGACCCACTACCGATCTGAACCACTCGGTTCGTTTATTTCGGGACTCCGATGGCATCCGGTGCTATCTACCTGCCTGTTCTACAGGGCGGAGTTCAGCCATAATCATGGCCGTTAGTCTTCTAGAAACCGATTATGACATTCGACGTCCGGAGTGTACGGAAGTTAGACATTCGTATTTTTCTAGCATAATGGGCACTCGAGGTAGTAGATAATATTATCTTCTTATTCATTCTTTAGCTTAGGAACGGATATAGGCTCTAAATACATAAATTAGCTCATATCACCTCCTAGGTGAGAATTGTTACCCCGTTCTTACCTTTTTTACCCCAGTCTCTGGACTTCTCACCCATATCACCCGTACTTAGCCTAGAGTTACCTCTTAGGGGCTAAGGGCGTATTGAGAAATAACTATGTGGAATAATTGGCTTAAGTACGGCTGAGCGGGTGGGAAGCCCTGTTTTCCACACCCCATGATTCTATGTACATTGTTACGTGTAAAAGAGGATAATAAAATAAAAAAAGACACGGAAACTGATGTATCGGTTTTTTTTCTAGAGCATGGCATTGTTAAGGCAGTTTAATTTGAAATCATGAAAGATGCCATGGAAATGCATGTCAGCCTGGACAAAGAATTTATATGTTGGATTCTGCCATTTGACTGGTATTTATAGTGCACTAGACCTTTTTATAGAAACAAGCCAGATGGAATTATTCTGATTTCAAAGTATAAAATAGGTAACCCACATATCAGGCCTCGGAATACCTGCAAAGAGCTTGTCCCCCATGATAGTATAACTTTTCAGCTTATTCTTCTAGCACTGACCAGTTATAGCCCTCAGGATCATAGCAGCTATTCGTGTTCTATGAGAAAACATTTTATTTTCCTTGTTTTTATGACGTCAACGTAGTTAGCAAATCACAAGAGCAACGGGTACTTGGGGTTTCTGCATAATAGATCAGGGGGTAGTGACAGGGCCACGGGGACTTGCATAACGTCCGCGGGTGGGATCAGCGCTGATATTGTCTAAATAGGATTGCCGATCAGTGTGTTGAAATTCTTTTGGGCCTAAAAGTCTCGGCATTTCACGTTTAAGCATATGATACTTACCACCTGGTAAATATAGTCACCCAACAGCAATACATTTCAATGATATAGGTAACCTACATAGTGTCCACCACCCTTGGAGCCATATTATGAAACAGATTATCTATTTATATGGATATTGTTCGTGCGACCTACGGGATGTCAGATCGCAGCCAAGGGACTAGTTCTGCAGGTTTGCCTAGATGAGCCTCTAAGAGGGGCCACAGACCTCAGCTGCAGTTCTGCATCCAACCTCCTCTCTTAATTCACTCGTTTGCTCACTCGTCTCTCCCAAGGTGGATCCAAATTCTTGACACTCGTTAATTATATTTTGTTTTGTTGTTGCTTACTCTCCCGGTTCCTGCATCTCTACTTCCACCATTCGTTAGTTTGCTTTTGCGCTTGGCATAATCGTCAGTATGCTGGCTTCTCCATACGAGGCCATTTGGACTACCTCCGGACGGACCCTGCCCCGGACTAATGCGACTGACGTCTCATGGCTATGGAAGGTGGTAACAGCCTGCTTTGCAGCTTTACAGCTAGTCGGGTGAGTTTCATAGCACAAGATGTGAGCTTGACTTTGAAATTGGAGGTCTCTGACTATAGAGTTGCTGGGGTTAGGTATATGATGCTGGCTGTGGTAGTCGGCTCCCCTCCCCATGAGTTACGAATCAATGCTACAGTATCTACTGTTACTGCATTTGTGTTTGTTGGTGCGTCTTACGGTGTATCAGCCCTGATTGCCTTCGCCCAGCGCCACCGAAAGCCGTTCCTCCTCCGCTCAATCTTTATGTAAGTGTCAATAAATGCTGCGTCTCTTCTATCGGCCATGGGCTAATAATTGCAGCCCATACTCGACGATGAATCTGCTCGCCCTCCTAAATATCCTATTTCATATCCACGGACGAAGCCTGCAGATGAACACCTTGCAGATAATAAATATCTGCTTACCGACTGCTTTCTCGGTGTGTTACGCCCTCGCGGGGATCTTGATATATCGAGAGTATGAACGTCACCGAGTGGAGGAAGGCACGCCACTGCTCACCGACGAGGAGATGCAGCGTCGCTAGTTGCTTCGCTTGTTGGGAGAACGGAATACCAGCGCACCATCGCCCGACCTTGTGCGAAACACTTATCGCTTTGATTTACCTGGGGATGAGACAGCGCAGAAGGACTCGAGTCATTTGACTCCTTGAGGTATGCTACAGCATAGGAAAATGTCGGATGTGGGTATGAAAATGAAGTGTACGAGTAACATATAATGTGAAATGTGGTTGAATAATCTGTATTATTGTGTGCTTGTGCACAACGTGTACAACGTGTGCAATATCATGTTGGTCCGGGGTAGATGATAAATCCACTTGGACCTCGGCATTTTTTTTGCGAGTGCCGTGCCGACCGCATTTAAAAGTCCGGGGCACCATCATCCCTGAAATTCACCTGGTCATTTTTCCTCCTGCTTCTGATCTCTCTTGAATAAATTCACAAACATGTCAAAACGCGTGACTCTTTTTGATCCCCCCGCGCAGGATCATTCCAAGGCTCTTATCGAGAATGTCCTCGATCTGACGCCAGTGGTGGACCTCGGCCCAGTATGACATCCCTCAATTCTTCTGTCGCGAAAAGGATCATATTCTAACAAACCACTCTTTGCCTCTAGGATGTCTTCACCAATACGCGTCCGCTATGGCATCCCCCCGGAGCTCGAGGCATTTACGGCGGTGCCGCGATCGCGCAATCCCTATCAGCAGCCATGCTGACCGTCCCAGCCGACTACGCCGTCCACAGCATGCACTGTTACTTCGTGCTTGCGGGTGATTCTGAGATCCCAATTTTATATCATGTCGAGCGGGTACGCGATGGGAGGAGCTTTGTGACCCGAACCGTGCAGGCGCGGCAACGGGGGCGGCCGATCTTCACCACCACCCTTAGCTTCAGCCGGGTCGGCAGTGGTGGCGAGAAGACTGTTCATCACGCTGTATCCAAGCCAGATGTCCCATTGCCAGAAGAGGCGGAGCCGGGAAGTCTGAGAGCCCTCAGCAATGCGGGCGGCGGTCCGTTTGAATCAAGAAAGGCAGGCATCTTGAACCGTACGTCCCTGGTCGCAAGCTCCATGCCGTGCATGTTGTACTAATGGCCGTCGTTAAATCAAACAGGTACATCCCCCAACCAAGAAAATAAGAGGGTCCGACGACACATTCGCGCTCGCGGCGCAATCTCCGAACAGGGTGGTTTCCAGGCGCACTTGTCGGCACTCGCCTATATCACCGACAGCTATTTCATCGGTACTATCTCCCTTGTCCACGATATCCCGAGATTTTCTTCCCCGGCAGAACTCGAGAAGCTTCTGAACGCACTTAAGAACCCATCCGATCTCGACGATGAGGATATCACGCGAGCTCTGAAGGAGTTGAAGGAAGAGGAAGCTGCAGAATTGCGGCGCCGTCTAGAAGGGGCCTTGAACAGGGCCACGTCGGGCACAAAGGAGGCAGACCATAAAGAGCTTGGCATGTTGGTCAGCCTGGACCACTCAATTTACTTCCACAATCCCCGGGCATTCCGTGCCGATGAGTGGATGTTGACGGAGATGGAGAGTCCGTGGGCTGGCGAAGGACGGGGCTTGGCAATTCAGAAGATTTGGTCTAAGGATGGGGTGCTTATTGCTACTTGCATGCAAGAGGTATGTATTTCTTTTTCTATTCTGGAGCTTCGTGCTAATTCGATCATAGGGTGTTGTGCGGTTAAAGCAAGACAAGCCGCCACTGTCGAAGATTTAAAGAGCTATACCCCCTACCTTGAAGGAGTTATCTCTTTCCTGTCACTTTCCCTTCTTTCACATATCTTCATTTATAGATTTGGGCTGAGGCCCCCCTCGACTTCCTGTGATTTTCCCTTGTATTGAAGCTGGCCATTCTTAGCTATAGGTCCACCGCATGAGCATTTTATAATTCAATAGAACTTGACCCAATCAATCTGGAAGCCCTAATACACATTTGTATATTCTCTTTGTCAAACGGGAGACACAGTCTTCCCAGTGAACAAACCGAAAGAAAAACAACGCACGCAAGAAAACGCGAAAGGAGAAAACAGTCAACGAAGAAAAGAACACAAAACAACTTTTGCGTTGTTCAACAAAAAGCCGACCCAGTTTTGATCTTCCAGAGCCAAAATGCGAAAAGAAAACAAGTTATCCTACAAAGGTCCATCAAACCTCAATTCTCTCATCTTTCTCGTTCAGCTCCTCATTTCCTGTCTTTTCACTCTCACCAACCCGTTGGCGATAGTATTCCAAAACCTTGGCGCCCCAAACATCCCTCCCCTTATATTCACCCACATAATCAGGCCAACTCCTCATCTCCTTGGCAAGATTATCCAGCTCCGCCATTGGCAGCTCATCCAACGGCGTGAGATACGTCTTGACGCCGAAGACAATCGCCCCTGTGCGCGGCAGTCGACGGAAAGTCTGCCTCTCGCGGCGGATCAGGATATCTGACGGCAATGGGCTTCTCAGCTCTTTCTCGCAGAGTGAACCAGGCCGATAGAGGATCTCGGTCAGGTTCTCGCTTGGTCCCTTGACTTCTACGAAGAAATTTGAGCGTTCCATTGGTGAGGTTGGTGTTAAGCGGGCGAGGAATCTGGGGATCGGGGTTAGTTTATTGTTTCTCTCTGTCTGGCCGTTGTGCCTGGTCTGATTTGGAGATCACTTACTTGCTGACAGAATTGGCGACTTGTTGGTGCCACAGTGGCACGGGGCCATGCAGTTGAGAGATGGTCCAGCCAATTCTCTGATTCACTGTCCACCCTGTTGGAAAGAGGCTGGCGCTAGCTGCCCTGTTTTGGTGTTAGGATTGGCGAATTGGCTTTTATGCGTAAGTTTGAACATACAGGTAGAATTCCCCTTCCTCGTTCATCATTAAAATACTGAGATCCTCCATCGTGAGACGGACAGCAGCCTCAAGTGCCTCTGTTAATCCCTCGTTGGGGTCGCGCCCGCTGACAGTGAATTTGTCGCCAGTCATGCGATTGTCGACGATCTTTCGGCCGTCTTGGATTGACATTTCGAACATATTGGGGAACCTCTCGCAAAGAAAGTCTGAAACTTCTTCCAATGCCTCCTGGCACGGTTCAATTGACTCCGGCAAACAGCGCAGGACCTCTTTTCTCTTCTCGTGAAGCAATTGGGTCCGGACCCGGTGTTCGTCCATATAGTTTTTGTCGAGGGTGAGCCAGTTCTGGGCGTCAAGTTTGCGAATGTCCATCATTACGCGGTATCGCTCTCTGCCTTTGATGGGCTGCGCTGGGTATGGTGCCATACGCTTGACGTCGGATGGATTTGAGACATTTCTTGAGAAATGTATTCCTTTCAACTTCTGTGACAACCATTGGAGCAGTTGTTTTTGGTGTCTGACTGCGAAAAGAAAGACGAAGATTGGAATCGCAACTAGTGAGAAGGCTGTCATACTTTTCCCATTTAAAGGTTCCACGTATAGATCGTTCAAACTTTTTTTTAGAAATTAAAACGACTAATCAACAACGCCCAATGTCAAAGGAAGGTAAAAGAAAATAGGAAAAAAGTGAATATGATTGACTATGACCTAGACTAGACGATATAAATACGATTTCAAGATGGGCTATGAAGTCACCATCGGGAACAGGCAGCAATAGAAGATCACCAGACGATAATTCCAAGTCAGCTTCACTAGTCTCAGTCAAAAAAAGGATAGCTCCAAGGTATGGCAGCTGCATTCCACATGCCTCATTCAGCGAAGTCGTGCCTGCGGAACTGCTGTGATACGCCCAGGGATTCCCCGCAAAAAAAAGTCAGAGTTCACCGAGGAGTACTTTGCCAGCCACATGATCTCAGACCTTTTTTTTAATATATTTATTTATTTTCCAAAAGTTCAGTGGAAACTGACATTGAGGGCTGTGCACAAACAATCAGCTCCGAGTGTGTCTAAGTGGAGATGATTACAACCAAACCCTCTCTAACTGGTTGTTGATCTCTCCTTACCAGTCGGACAAGATCGCCTGGAAACTATCTGGGCCCATATCTGCTTGGGGGATCAACTCCGGAGCTAGGGTCTCCACGATCTAGCCACAGACTGCCATATTTAGCTTCAAACAATCGTCAAGATCGTTTATACCGTCCGTGCGCCTTATGAACCGCCAGGGCTTGCCGACTCGGGGGAAAAGCAACTCTCACCCGAACAACCATGCTTCGGATATCGTCGGAGAGACAATGCCCAAGAGTTAATTCGAACCGCGTAAGGCGCTTGCCAACTCATGTTTGTGAGTACGCAAAGTCCGAGAGTACCGGATGTTTGATCTGGGGTCACGCAGGTCCGGCTTCAGCTGTTAATCACTGCCGTCTTGGAAGTGTTTACTAGCATATTGGATCTGACTGGCTCGGGGATGGGCCGGGGGCCCGATCTAGTTCAGGTGCACATCACATCCGAGCTAGGTAGATGGGCACATGGAATGATTCTGACGTATCATAGTCATACCCCTCGTGTGGGGTGGATATCAAGGGGCTTTTTCTGGGCTTTTTTTTTTCTTTTTCCTCCAACGGGTCCGGACTCCTTCGTCACGTCCGCCCTGATTCAAAGATACTAGGATTACTACAGGGCCTTCGTTTTTTGCCTTGGCTTCAGGTTAGGCGAACAATGTCATTGCATCGGATCACACACCAACACTAAGACTAACATTAACACCAAAAAAACAGAAACTTAAGTAAAATAATAAAGTAAAAGCTGTCTCACTCTCGATCACCGGGCCAGAATTCACCAAAATACCCTTTTTAGAGGCTCCACAGACTCCATCTGGGGCTCCCGCTGCAACCGCACATCCCCCCCTTTCGCGCAAAGCGCGTTTGCCGCCATTATTTATTATTGTTTTTGCTCGGACCCTATGAACTACGCAAGTTCTTTCTATTTTCCGGGTCTCGAATTTGATTCTTACCATTTTTTGAAGATTGCCTTATTCCCTGCTCTTTTTTTCGCCTCCCCGTCATAGCTTCTTTCCCCCACGCTGATATGCCCCTGTCCATATTCCCACACAGACCACCATGACCAGGATTGGATCGATCTACAAAGCATAATCGATTTTCGCCACCGCTCATGATCTTCACGAAGCGCATTTCATTCATAAGTAGATGGGTGGGTAATGCTGTACATAGATTCCGTACTCCGTACTCCGCACAGAGTCCTTTTGTTACTACATAATTGACTAGTTTTAGTTTAGTATATCCACATGGGCCAATCAAATCTCCCAGCTAGACTTGATCCAAGACTTTTGTAGGGTCTGGACCTCGACTAGGTCCTTCAATCCTTGAGTCCTGGAACCCTTCATCCTGGATCTGGATTACAACAATTAAAGTACAGACCAATGCAAGTCACCACTCGGGGCTTTGGCAACCGCCCCGTCAGGTCCGCAAAGCCTCTTTTTTCTCTTTCTTTTCTTTTTTTTTGTTACCTGTCTATTACGCACAGACGTTTAGATCACCTGCAGCTGTTCTCGCTGGCTGGGTTGTATATTCCAAGGTGGATCTCCCGTCTACCCGGCCTTTATTTTTTGCATTAGTAGCGCTCCAGCCGAGAAAATCCTGGAAAGTATATAATGTTTACGGAAATAATGCCTCCAATTGGCGTTATGTGTGCTCGACAGGGACTTTGGTGGCACAGGCTATTGTTAAATGAGCCATATTTTTACTGATCACATGGTTGTTTTATGATTCGGTCAGCCGTAGAGGGTGCTCAATTTGGATATTTTGAATAAGGGGTCATTTTCATTGTTTGTCGGAGCAAGTGCTGGATCATAGTTGATTATTTACTCCATAAAAAGATGCAATTGATACATATTCCTAAGTGTCATGAAGCTTTTCCAATGGACGCAAATTATAGGCTACCAAAAGCCCTGGAGGCTAAAATATGCTAAACTGGGCACTCTACAATCTGATTTATCTGGCTCAAGACGATATTAGGGACATTATGTGTAAGATAACACTCCAATGTCTTTTTTGGTTGACCTTTTCAGAAGTATTTTCTCCGCAGCGTTATAGGTGGAGATATAATAGTTAGTTAGCTATAGAAGTACAACAATGACTCTAGGATGTACAAGATACATAGGCGGAAAAAGTATAAACAGTACAGACGACGTTTCTAAGAATAACCAGGGAGATTCAACTCAGCCTCCTCTATAAGACCATGCTAGCAAGCTTTCGGCTTGCTCTAGGCCAGTTTCGGTTGATTCCTCATCTGAATAGCCCAGAAAGCTTTTTAAGGTTGTGACGTTGGCCTCGGGCCATAATTCTTGATAGCATCCATCTCTCGGAGCTTTTGTCCTCTCTCTCTCTCTTCCTACCTTGCCCGTCGATTCAATGGACCAATATCGAGCTGTCTTTGGAATTGTTTCTCCATTATAGCAGCTATGGCGTTGCCAGGTGTGCCCTTAGCATTAAATAAGGTTAGAAAAGATGGATTCCAAGGTTGAAACGAAAGTAGGTGAAAAACAATAGTAAGATCATTAAAACTAGAGTAATAGCTATTTATGGGGTCTTCCTAATGGAAGATATCAAAATCAGTATGAGTATGAAGCAACGCTCGCCCGATGCAATCTCTGGTCCCTTAGAAAGTATATTCCGAAGTCGAGCTTGGTTGAAGTGAAGCCGGTACGAAGGTGGAAAACCGGATGCAGTGGAGTTTACATATGTAATCTTGGCTCAAGTGGAGCCCGTGGTGTCTTTTTGGAAGAATTTGGTGTATGAGATGGTCGTTCGTCGCCCTCGGGATCCCGCCGCTTCTGGGTCTCATCAGAAGCGCCATCATCCGGGGAAGTGAGACGTCTCAAAATGGGGGAACAAAAAGCAAAATGTAAATGAGAATGCAGGCACCTGTGCTTTTTTTCTCCTTTCGACAGGAGCGTGGTTCGAAGCAGCTGGTGGAGGTCCTGTGTTGCTTAAACATTAGAGAATAGGTATATGATAATGTCACTCGCCTCGTGGAAAGAAAATCAAAACTTTTGAATCGGCAAACCGATGGAACCGAAAAGAAAGAGAGCAAAGAGGGACGAATGTCCCAACACGCGTGAAGAAAGTCTTCATTGTCAAGACAAGAATGGATGGGTAAATCGTGAGAAGCATTCAGCCTCAAACACGAAATTGGTAACCATCTTCAACAAATAATCGATGCTTTATCCGTTCGAGCAGTATCGATCCTCGTCATCGAAATCCCAGTATTGCGGGACGGGATAGGCTCGAGGGTATCATCACCATTCGCGAGACGCTCCTCTCTCTCCCACTCCAACCGCTCAGCCTCCTTGACGCGCTTGAGCTCCTGGCAGAACTTGCTGTTTGCTCTGATACGGTCACCGTAGCGAATAAACGCAAACGGAATTACAGAGACACCCAGACTGAGGAAGGCAATCAAACTGCAAGCCCAATGCACGCCGAGCCTGTTGAACATCGGCTTAGCCGCGAGCGGGAGCACAGCACCTAGAATGCTTCGCGTGCAGCTTGCAGCGGACTGTGCGCTGGCGGAGAGTGTCTCATAGGCATCGGTCAGGTAGTTCAGCATAGCCATGAAAATTAACAGATAGCCCATTCCGAAGGGGATTCCGGAGAGGAAGGGTACGACCCAGTGGATGTTTGGTGAGGCTGTCCAGCCTACCCAGAAGAGGGAGATCACGTATAGGGGTCCGCCGATGCAGGCGAGGGGCAGTCTGCGGTATTCCTCGATGAAGGCCCAGCTGGCGTTGCGGGCCTTCGCTCGGGCTAGGTAGCCATCGTACCATATGAAGATGCCACAGGCAAGGACGGCGCCGATGCCGACTGTTGTGTGAATTTAGAATATGCTCCTTTTTCGGTTTAGAGAAAATGGTCGTATGGATGAACTTACTGGGTAGGAACATCAAGCCAGAAATACCAGGGCTCATTTTGTAGATACCTGCATCATTTTCGTTAGTGCGTGGCTCCAAAAGGGTTCTGCATACGCTAGTTGGGATAAGTCACCAACCTTGGAAGATGATTGGATATGCCTCAAAGTAGAGGTAGAAGATTGCATATGCCAGAGCAAGATACAACGAAGTCAGAGAAACGATATACTCATGAATAATCATGCGGAAGGGTCGTGAGATCGTGATAAGAAACATTTCTCGCAGATTGCGACTCTGAATATCCAATGGCGATGCGATGCTTGAATTGCCGGTGTCTTTGCGCAGCCTGTGTGCACGACGCTTCAGAATGACCGGGGCATAGGTTTCAGGCATGAAGATAATCAATGGCAAGGTAGCGCCTGATAGAATGAGTCCAATCCAAAAACACCAACGCCAGCTGACAACTGCCACGAAGCCAGATAGAAAAGGTCCGATGATTGGCCCGAAGGTTGTACACTGTCAAAAGATTAGCTGTTGGACCCAACAAATCTAGTTAAATGTATGCGGCAAGCTTACAGCCATGAAATAAGCCATCAGGCGACCCCGAAGTGTGGGATCGTCATGTACATCGGCGAACAATCCGCCGACAGTAGCGATAGGCGCTGACGCAACCATGCCATTGAGTAATCGGAATACAAGCAGAGATGCATAGGAATCTGCGACAGCGCACGCCAGCGTGAATATCATGAATAAAACAAAGGAGATGAGCAAAGGGGGCTTCCGACCAAAATACTCGGAGCTAGGACCCCATAACAATGGTCCTAAGATGTAGCCAATGAGAAAGATGGAGATGGGCAAGACGAGCATTGTTTCGTTGGTTATGTTGAACTCTTCGGCAATTTGGGGGATGGCGTTGCTACAAATTGACGAGCCGATAGTACTGTTCATGACCTGCATGACACCAGCTGCGAGAACAAGGAACTTCCTCCTCTGTTGGGCACATCAGTATTCTGTTCTTCGCCTTGCTTCCTTGTATTAGACAATATCCCACGTACCGTTCTCCAGTTGACGGGGTTTTCTGGGTCATTAGGCCCGAATGACACAATCGTTTTGGAGGCCACTCGGCGGAATCTAGAGTACGAAGGGTTTCCATAGCGTTCTTGGATGGGCTCATGGTCAACTTCTGAGTCTTGGTCTTCGGAGTCATGGGAGTGATGTGACTCGTGAGAGGGAGCCACTACGTGCTCTATACAATAGCTTTAGCATTTTGAACTCCTAAGATACAAGAGAGAAAGCATCGACAAGAATATAGATGACTGACCTGTTGCTGACATGACCTTTTGCACATTTTCCTCGGCACCCACATGGTCCGACATCTTGGCGACCTTGGCGTATCAACAAAATCGAGAGTTCGTACGCTAGACGAAGATCCAGGCGGGACGCAAGAGTTATAAAGGGTTCAAAGTTGAAAAAGCCAATCCCCACAGAGTGCCAGTGGATGTTTGACTCAGACAAATAAAAATTGGGTACAATGTGGATGCGACTCCACATCCATAGAGCAATCTCTGATTGTACGCCCTAACTTTGACAAATCGAGTCGGGACGCCAGGCCGGTTTGGAAAATAAAGAAAAGACTGGCTTTCCCTGTCAAATTAGGCATTTGGTGGTGTTGATCAGTAGACCTGGCTCGGGTAGGACGGCTTTTTCCCCAACTGTTTGGGCAAAAAAACAGGAGCCAAGAAGCTACGGATTGCTAAAGTGGCAACTGCAAATGTGACTGTATGAAATATCACATGGGATCTCGCATAGAAGGCCGATTTCACAACCCTTGACATAATAACACACGTCGCTTGCGAAACTACGAAGGCAATCCAAGCCCATGCAAAATCTTGAAGCAAATATCTCGACCGCATGCATCTAGTAAATTGGATATTGAATTCTTCAATGTGTGATGAGGGGTGAAGATCCTGCCGATCAATCGATGGATTGGTCTTGCATTAGCAATTGCGCCAGATAGCTTTCCCTGTCATGTAGTGAGGACCAATGGGGCACGCACAATTTTGGGCTGCCGAGCACTTGCTCCCATGATATGCGTGGTTTGCGTAGTAGACTAGTTAACCCGATCGAGCTATAGCCGATTTTAAGTATAAGGAAGCTCCCTGTAGCGGGGACGCCAATGCTGGGTACAACGGGAACGGGGTATTCCGCACAGCGTGGGCTCAACTTATTTTGTTCTCGGAGGATGGATCCGAAAGCGCTCCACATAGAATAAGCAAACGGTGCCGTTCAAGGGTATGCTGTCTCTTTCCGTATGTAAGGCTTAGGCAACTCATTTCTCGGGGATTGGGCTGATGTCGGCTAAGCTAAAATTCCCCGGTGTCGTTTCCGGTTGCGTGCTGACGAGTTCGGCTTTCTGGCCGATATGCCCTGACCGCCCAAAAGTCATGAGAACAAGAACTCAGAAGAGTCTCCAATCAAAAATCCCACCGGACAATATTCTTTGAAAAGAAATAGCTGTGTGGGTGTGCGGGCCTCGTGTTTGTCAAGGGCAGGTGATTCCGGGGTTGATGCCTGACGCACCAGTCACAAATATATTCTGCCTCAGGCATTCAACGATGTATACAGGCAACAAGGCGCCACCCGAGGACCTCGGGGACGTTCGACAATTATAAATGTTGAAATCTGTACATTTATAGTGGAGATACATGTATTATTAGCGGGGTCATCGCTGAGATTTGTCTTCAACTTCCATGCATTGACATAACATTACACCAACCTGGTCAATCCGCCAATTGCATAGTAGAGTTGACGTGCTACCCAGGTACGTCCCTTTCGTTTATTGAATTTGAGGGCTCTGCTTCGAGGCAAGTTTAGCCAAATATGTTGATGCAGTATGTCTGTCGTCATCTTTGAGTAACCAATGCACCCCATGTGCATCTACAAGATACCAAGAACTTACAAATGGAGCCTCAAACGGCCCGAAAATGCTTTGAATCCTGCGCAATTCCAGTAACAATGTATTATGAATTGACTCTCAACAAGCACAAGTATTAAAGCTCAATATAAATTAGTGTCTATCCACAGATGACCACAAAGATATTTTGTCACATAAACTCTTAGAGGCTGTATATGTCGTCGTTGCTAATATGAAATGACTAGTTAGTATCTCAATACCTGATTTGTGAACACCGAAACTCCACGGACCTTGGTGGATGGAACTTACAAAGGCCGATTAATTCCATTTCTCCCCTCCGCTTGAGAGTTCACCCAGACACTAACACTCATAGCGGCGACTGGGAAAACTCCATAGCCGCAGTGATTAATGAGTACCGTCTCATTTCGCCAGCCGAGAATATCTGTCCACAATTCCCCGGCATGTCTGTGACCGACAAACATGCGCTTGTAGGATGCGCCGCCGTTGCTAAGGATACAGGCAAGACCGAATGGGTGTTTATAGTTCCCGTAACGCACGAAACCTGTATAATTGTTAGAATTATCAATTCACATCCAAATAAACTATACTGACCAATGCAGTTCCTCCTATTGAAGTAGTCTCGTTGTTCCCCGTGTGCATATAGCTTTCGGGCACGCGTGAGTATGGGAAGCGTTCCGCTGCATGATGGCCCAGGCTGGGGCTCGGGTCCACCGTTGATTCCATAGAGGTCCCCGTAGAAAATGCATGGCTGTCCTTGGCTTCGGAGGAGGATTAAAGAGTATGCGAGAGGTTTGAAAAATGGGACGATGATAGTCTGTCAGGACCCTAAGCTATCATCCACGTCCCATGGCTGTATAACAGCTAAAATCTGGGTGTATCTCACCTCTAATGATTGTCCAGGTTGCTGTGTGATTGTAAGCTCCACTAATTCCACACAGGGGGAATTCAACACACCGTATCATGATTGCCAACAAAAGTCTGACGGTTAAAGTGATGGTTAGCGGCAAACATTTCCCACAAGATAATTGGGTCTTACTACTGCATGCGACGGCATCTGTTCTACCAACGTGCCTTTGAAAATCTTCCGCAGATCACCACCTGCAATCTTGGAAATAGCTGCAAACCGGCCCAAGAGTGGTACATCGAACAAGGAGACCCCATAATCCATTAGTTTGAGATACCCCAGAAGTAGACCCACCTCTCCTCTCCAGTACTCTGCGACTAGGAAATAATCAGCGCCAACCGTATTCCGCAAATGTGTCACAAATTCTTTCTGGAACGAGGCAGAATAATGCTTTGCTGCATCGATTCGCATTCCACTGATTGGTAATTCGTTGCCAATCCACTCCCCCATTTCAATATATCAGCTCGAACTTCTGGATGGGAATGGTCGAGATCGGCGAACATCAGATAGTCGTAGTTCCCATGCTCATCACTCACGTCCCTCGCCCAGTTTTTGTTATATCCCAGGGTCTTGTATATTGCATGCTGTTGGCTGGCATCGTCCCAGTCCACACCAGTAAAATGTTGCCAGTGATACTTCATAGAGCTGTACTTCTCCCCACGTCCGAGGAAGTCGAACCCGACCCAACCGTCGATGGTCATAGGTCGAGATATTTCAGTGTTCCGATCTGCAGCGTTGTTGACCTCCATAAGCGCTCTCATCTTCACATGGTCATCGGGGGAAAAAATCACCTTCTGGGTCCATCTTGACGACTGTGAATTTTTCGGTCAAATCTGCCCCAGCCTTCTGGTTCAAAACAGTATCCCAGTAAATTTCAATGTTCATGTCCTGTGCGGCCTGTACCAGGCTCTGAAGGTCTTCCTTTGGGCCCCATCGTGTGGCTCTGGTGCCCTTCTGGTCGAATTCCCCGAGATCATACAGATCGTAAATATCATACCCAATTCCAGATGGGTTCATCCCCTTGCACCCAGGAGGAATCCAGATGTTATCGACTCCGATATCTTTCAGGTCGGGAATTGCCTTGCGGAGGCGCTGCCAATGGCGTTGGTCAGCTGGCACATGCCATTCGAAGCCCTGCATCATGAGTGTGTTTTCGGGGGAGACCACGACTGCTTTTCATCAAGTCCGACAGGATCTACTCAATAGCGAGATGGTTAGCTCATAGCAGGAAATGCATAGAGATAAGTGATTAGAGAACCTTCGATCTCTCGCCACTTCTTGGCCCTTCTCCGTATCTTCAAACAGCAGCTTAGGAATGACAGCATTTGGTCGAGGCGTGTCTCTATCGCTAAAACGGTGATATTGATGTGGTTCTGGACCAGCTCAGGTCTCAGTAGCGTAGAGAGAAGTAATAATGGCATCCTGCAACCCTCAAATATACCATGGTGTCCAAAAATCAGGGCTGGGCGGAACTGACAAGTGACACTAACACACCCTGCTGTGCGAGATACATTGGCTGGTAGAAATTCAAAGACCTGCTCGGTGGGTTGGAAAAGCAAATGCTGCTCCGGTTTTGAAGATAAGATAAATGTTTCAATTAACATCTATTGATATGAACAGAGAGTTCTTATGTTCGTCTGCCTCTTCATAGAAGCTGATTTGCGCAGGTTATCACAGATTCACTCTGTCGACTATCCTAGGACACCCTTACCCCCTAGTGAGCTTTGTACAAATAGTCAATGCGATGAATCAGTGTCACGAATAGTTGACGTGTGGATCTCGAGCTACAATAGATATAGGTAGAGCATGGAAGATCCGTACTATCTTGTACAGTACCAAACATCTCGAATCGTGGGAACCAAGAACAAATGTAGCCAATCACACAACTTGCCAGGGGTGACTAAAAAGGACTGGTGTAAATGACTAAAGTAAGCGGCCTTCCTTGGAAATGCCTCAAAATAACCTTGGCGCAGTTACGATAACAACTTGAATGGTAACAAATTGTAAATACGTGTCCACAGTGGAGATGTGGCTTGTGCAAGGCAGAGCACTGTTGCGGCCAACTGACCCTTTTCATTATTTCTTATGCTATTGCTTCCAAGCTTGAAATGATCTTCTTATATTGTCAAAGCTGTGGTAATTCTTACGCCTCACTCTCAATCTCCTCCATCGACCGCTTTGCGTCCCTTGCTGCCGTTCTCACTTCGTCTCCAATCTCAACTTCTGTTACAGCCAATTCCCCAAATCTCTCCTTCCAAAACAGCCACCTCTCCTTACAAAACCCATGTTGACCCTTCCAAAGTGGGCCTCCTTTCCCGAGAGCGCCATCAAACCCTTCATTCCACTGATAAATATCTGCCCCCAGAATACTGATCCACGTAGCAGCAGCAGGAATCAATGCTTCTAGATTCCTCGCAGAGGATTGATCTGCTGGTTTTTCCAGTGCCTCGCGCAGGGTAATCAATGCAAACCAGGAGTATGCAAAGACAGGTTTCTTTGTCGCCATCAAACGTGCGGTGAATTTATCTCGGTTGATAATTCGCGAGATTGCGTTTCGCCGAGAGTCGGGAGGTCCAGCAGGTACGGTTGCATTCCATTCGTCGCGGAATTGCCAGCCAAGCATTGGTAGGTCTTTCCAGACTTGCATATCATGGAGTAAAATGGAGTCTCCGTTTGATGTTTTCGCATTCGGGAGTTTTGAGAGTTGAACTAGCACGGTGACAAGTTTAACATGGTGCTCGGGAAAATCGTATGCACACTTGAATATCAAGCTCCATAGGCTGGTAATTCCTCCCTCGGGATCTGAATCGTCTGCCAATGAGATTGAGGCCAAATATTCAGCGGCTTTCTGTGCAGATATACTGTCGCTGAACAGGTCTTGCAGAATGGCAAATCGAGAGGCAAAAATATCATCTGTGATGGCGACCATTTTGGGAGATGGTTGATCTGAAATGGGTTTTTGTGTAAACTAAGGGCAGCTGCAGAATGTTGTAATTTTCTAGATCCAAGTTCCGGGAATTTAATTGTCTCTTATCACTCTGCATGAATATTGGTCATATCAACCCTCAGCATTCCATAGCGGCCTCGTGGCCTTTATCTGCTGATCTCATTGGTTCTGATTCCAAGGTTGCATAGCTTCATCTCAAATTTTAGGATATGATTGATAGCCCTGAGCGCGCTAAGCCAGGGTCCTACGGCAGTATTTTGGGGCCCTCACTACATGTAGTTTTGAAGTGCCTCGGTTCTTTTTGGGAAATCAATTTAACCTCGTTATACTTGTACATCGATTTCAGCTACAGCCCTTACTTTGTATCCAATCAATAATCTAGATACCTTCAATCATAGGCTAAATAATATATCGAGGTTTCATTGTGATAGAACAATCATTTTCTGCTAGACGATAGTCTGAAGTATGGCTATATATGCACAACTTGTATACATAACAGGATGTATAGATAATAGAGTACAGTGGCCGCAAATATCCACCCTCAGATGTCAGACTAATACGTGTCCACTGTGACGTAGGGAGAGAGATGTGGCTGGTGCGAACAATCTTCCAGTCCCAACGTGGGTCTGATATTGCAATGAGTTTGTTTCATTGTATTGTAGCATACAGTGCAATGTACCCTATAGCAACAGTTCAACACCAATTCTATCACCATGAGCCTTGAATCAAAATTCTATGTCCAGAGCTAGCTTGAAATATGAGCCCTATCAAATCCCTTTTGCGGTTCCTAATCCCGCCTATTTCCGGCAACGGGTTCCAACCCATCAAACCATCCGGGATGCCGTCTAATAGTCAACATCAACCTCAAGTTGGGTTTGATAATTAGATCAATAGAATACATAACAATTGACCATGTAAAAAGGATTGCGAACAAAACGCTATGCGGTTGACCGGGCGATCGGAGGTTAGTGTGGCTACCGAGCGGCTCCCGCATTGGCCGCGAAAAGTTTTCGGGTTCGGCGGCCCCATCCCTTTCAAATCCTTTCTTCTTCTCTTCCACTCCCTAAGGCTTCAATTGCATCCCATCTTCTCCTCTCTTTAACGTTTTTCTTTACGTTATCTCACATCCGTCAAAATGGCTGCCACTATCGCCCCCAAGGAGGAGATGAGCGCTCTCAACCTCGTATGTTTTGAACCCTGAAACTCCATTCCATGCTTTAAACTGACTCGATTCTTGCTTCCAGTACTCTCGCTTCGCTTTCGCCGGTGCCATGTGCTGCGCCATCACCCACGGTGCTGCCACTCCTCTCGATGTGTAAGTTTCTGAATCTGTCGCCAGCGCGCCAACAAGAATTTCCGCTCATACCCTGTCCTCCACAGCGTCAAGACCCGTATCCAGCTTGACCCCGTCACCTACAACCGCGGTATGCTCGGTGGTTTCCGCCAGGTCATCCAGAACGAGGGTGCTGGCGCTCTCCTGACTGGTTTCGGTCCTACCGCCGCCGGTTACTTCCTCCAGGGTGCCTTCAAGTTCGGTGGATACGAGTTCTTCAAGCAGCAGTCCATCAACGCCCTTGGCTACGAGACTGCCAAGAACAACCGCACCGCCGTCTACCTCGCCTCCGCCGGTGCCGCTGAGTTCATTGCTGATATCGCCCTGTGCCCTCTCGAGGCCACCCGTATCCGTCTTGTCTCCCAGCCTACCTTCGCCAGCGGTCTCCTCCCTGCCATGACCCGCATCCTGAAGGAGGAGGGCATTGGTGCCTTCTACTCTGGATTCGGACCCATCCTGTTCAAGCAGTAGGTTTTTTCCCCTCTATACGTATCCCATTCAATTCCCACTAACTCGATTTCCCACAGGGTCCCCTACACCATGGCCAAGTTCGTCGTTTTCGAGAAGGTCTCCGAGACCATCCTCTCCAAGGTCAACAAGGAGACTCTCTCCGACAGTGGCAAGACCGGTATCAACCTCGGCTCCGGTCTCATCGCTGGTCTCGCCGCCGCCATCATCTCCCAGCCCGCCGACACCATGCTCTCCAAGATCAACAAGACCCAGGGTGCTCCTGGTGAGGGTACCGTCAGCCGTCTGATCAAGATCGGAAAAGAGCTCGGTATCCGTGGCTCTTACGGTGGTATTGGTGCCCGTCTCTTCATGGTTGGCTCCATCACTGCCGGTCAGTTCGCCATCTACGGTGACATCAAGCGCATGCTCGGTGCCACTGGCGGTGTTGAGATTGGTAAATAAATGACTCGAGTCTAATATGCTCGGGAGGATTATAGAGACTACCCTTAGAATTCCTTTTGTTTTACGCCTTGTCCATCCCCCAAACACGATGTACAATATTTTGTCTCAGTTTCCTTTCAAGAACAAGCTCGCCATTTTGTCACATTTACAATTATTTCCATTTCTTCCGTAAAGTAAGGGTATTTGTAGCGATTCTTGATTATTGACGCCTCAGGTGTAAAGCAATTGAATTTCAAGAGGCAGGTTGAGAGATGATGGCGGAATACCTCCAGGGCTACGGCGAGACCAGCAACGAGACTAGACCTAATACCGGTCATGTCGGCGCCGGAGAGAGTTCTCATGTTGACCTAGGGAGGGTGGATACATAGGGAGGGTGGAGCGTCTGTGTCTACATGTATAACTATAACGTCTTCCAGAGCACAGTCTAAGGTGGAGAGAGAAAAAGACAGCAAATAAAAACAACGACATCGCCTCCAAACGAACGGCGACCTTACGGCAGCAAAAATAATATCACAGAGAGAGAGAGAGAGGTATATATATATGGGGGGTCCTGTGGTAGGCGGCGCCACGTCGCACGTCGCTTGTGACAGCGCCATGTCGCCAGCTTGACCATAGGCCCAATCCCCAAAGAGCTCAGTCACGCACACTTCAATTTATGTTCACATGGGACAAACGCAGGTATAAAGATTACATTACACTACATTAATATGGCCACTATAAAGCAATGTCCCTCACAGAGAATCCATCAACCCCAAGGCCATCCTCCTTCTCTACCACAAAGGAATGATATCCAGTATAATACCCATATCCCTCGACACAGACTCGAACACTCCGCTGATCTCCTCCATTTGTGCCAGCATCAGCAAAAACAGACCCAACAAACCCAGAAAGACATCTATATGCACGAGTCACCAAAGAGTTATAGATCCTTTTCTCACCCACAGGCAAAGATCCTTTGGCATGTGCAAGAGCCACTCTCGCAGCAACACAGCCTCCAGTGGGAGACCGGTCAATCTGCTGATTTGCAAAGAAACAGAGCCCCGTCTCCTCGCTACTAGCATCCAGCTGCGCACGAGCAGCCGCCGTCCCCCTCCGGGGCACTAACATGTCCCAGTCGTGTATCCGTGATCATAATCCCATACAAGAACCCCTCCTCGGCAGTTCGAATATCCTGGGTGAGGTATTTCAAATCTGGATTTGTAACCACCGCCTCCTTGAGCAACTTCGTCGCATGATCCATATCCTGCAACTTAACCTCACCCAGACCACTAGGGAAGCCCAATTCCTCAGCACTAACCATACAATAGTACGCACCCCCATAAGCAAAGTCCGCCGTAACAGCAGTCTTACCACGAAGCTCAGCCCAGCGATATTTCTCAGGAACAGGAACCTGCAAGGAGATCGCGGTAGCAAACGACGGCACAGACACGAACGAAACAGGCCGCGACGCATCAGACTTCCCAGACCCTAAGGTGGGAACAGTAACCTCAACGACCCCACAGGGTACATGCAGATTAAGAGTCGTCGTCCGGGACACAGGATCATATTTCAATTCCCTCCGACGAGGAAATACCTTCTCGTCAACATCGACAAGGAACCGGCCCAGCGCGATCGTCGCATGTCCGCACATAGTCGAGAACCCTTCATTGTGCATGAACAGAACGCCCATATGGGCTTCTCCGGAGGCGACGAGCTCGGTCTCCGGGCGTAAGATCGCGCCGTACATGTCGTAGTGGCCGCGTGGCTCGAGCATGAGAACGCGGCGGAATTCGTCGAATTGCGCTTTTGCTTGCGCTCGTTGTTCCAGCAGTGTACCTGTTAGAGGTGGGATACCGTTCCAAATGATTCGTGTTGGTTCGCCTGCTGTGTGCATTTCGACGCAGGTTATCGGTCTGATCGGGCCTGGGGCTTCGAGGGGTTGTGGGATTTCCATGACGTTGGAGCTGGGAAGGGATTTTTTGATCTGATTGTTGGTTTATTTTTTAAAAAAAGAGGGTTTGCTCTGGTCGATGCGAATTGACAATGGTTTTATACGCATGATTCCCCTGAGGTCGGAATGCGATCCCGAAGTTCTAGATACCGGTTATCCTTTGCTTGAACAGGCAGGTGGGCGCCTGTCAAATCAAGGGCGTGGCCACCAATCGTTCTTGGCTTAGGTATGTATTTCCCTTTATGGGCGCTTCCTTGCTACACATATAGATTTACTTGTCTTAATTATATTTATATGCATACATAGTCTTCTGTTTATTTCTTAAAAAGTTGAAAAGTGGAGCGTGAGGGGTTCTATCTATACCCACTTTAATGTATACATGGATCAGTAATAATCACTAACCAGATCATGGATACGTAGTATCCCTTCTTGTCTTTCAATGAAAGCGCCAGGTGAATAAGATTTGAGCTGAGTCTAGAAGGGAGTTATATTCAAGATTTCCAGTTTCCTATTGTTTGGTTGGATCCCTTGCCAATTCGGACACGATCCGAATATTCTCGCAGTAAGGACATCATGAGAAACGAGGCTAAATAAACTCTTATGTCTGGACTATCTGTACACTGAACAGGTAAAAAGATCCATCCATTCACTGTACTGTTTTTTAAAGCTAATATGTTCAGATTATTCAAGGGCTAACATCAACTTCTTTCCGCATGCTTTTGGTAAATACACAGGGAGTCAAGAAAACAATCATAGAATTTCAGAGGGACGATTGGCCCAGGTAGCTGGTTTTGGTATTGACATCGGAGATTGGCGGCATCGTTAATAGTATATCCTAACCAAATCTAGGCCAATCCCATACCCCATACCTTTCCGGGGAACCAAGAATCTTTCGGTGGGGATTTGATATGCTCGGATGGTTATTTAAGGCGAGGTATGCCTTCTGATCCTGTGGCTATTCGAAACAATCGGCGGTAGTTAGAAGTAAAGTAGGAAGCAGGACCTACGAGCCTCTCTCGTTCAAGAATAATACGCCACGCCTGGCAACAGTTATGGGTAACAATCCACAAATATAGCTCTCGCCATCTTTATTGGATACGGAGATGGCGACATTTGCGTATGGAATGCTTTTAACATCTAGTGGCACACCAAACACGCCCCGAGAAGGTTCTATTGCCGAAATGATAAGATTTCTGGAGGTTCTACTCCGTTATAGTGGCACATATTTTCGACCACCGCCACTGGGTAGTACAATACCAAACTTATCTTTCGCTTTAGTATAGTCCACATATCTGACTGAACATAATTAAATTTACCTCAAATTCCTTGATTCGAATTCTTTTCTACTCTTCGTTCAGAAGTCACTCTTAAAAACTAAGAGCGACTCAACCACATCACACCCTACCTATGATATAGTTCAACCGCCGTTTTGACCACATCTCGGACAACAGTGAAGCAAAAAGAACGCCAGAAAGCCAAAAATATTGACCGACGCAGGGATCGAACCTGCAATCTCTTGATTCGTAGTCAAGCGCCTTGCCATTGGGCCAGCCGGCCGTGGAGGATTTTGATCCAGTTGTGATATATGGGGCGGCAGACTTTTAACTTTTTAGGGCAGGCCCCACTTAAAACGTCCGCATCGGGATTTTTGCACCGTTTTCGGGGCCAATTCTCTCAACCCATGTGTATATCAGATCAAGTCGACCGATATCAGATGGTCAAAGTGAGAATAGTTTAGCGATGGTGTGTGAAAGTGTGAGCTGGCAAAAGAAATAAAGGAAACAACTGGTGGCTTCTTGACCTAGACCCAGCTGGGGTCCAACAAGCTCCCCAATGGAAATTTCCCAAGCTTGTTTAGCAATTTGATTAAACCTATCATGTTAGGAAGATCATGGGACTCATCACCCCCTCAAAATAGACTTGTGTGTTGTATATCCTAGACGTTTTCTATGGCCTAGGATGTGGCACATTCAGGGGTAGAGCTGAGACATAAATATTCAAACAGATCCATCTTCATGAAACCTGGATGACGACTACATTCAATGAGTTTGATGCTGACTTCAATAATCCAACGGTTAGTACTGAGTGTATTCAAACTAATCTCATAGCAATCGCTTAATAGAAATTTCCCTAGCTTTCAAAGTGCTGACACCAAACTACCCATATATCGATTCTTTCTTGTTGATATTGATGGAGTCTCCCACGAGTCACTTGGGCCGAATGTCAGCGGATGACTGTTTCGAATCGAAATCTGATACATATTTTGTATGGGCCCTGGCTAATCAAGGGCTGAAGTGGGCCCTCCCCCTGACTACGAAAGCATTGGAATCATCATCTTTGTATTCACTTTCTGGCTCCAGGCCCTCATAGCCTCCTTTCCATCGACGTGGCTTTGTGTCGGTTAAACTTCATTTGACTTCCGGGTCATATGTTTCCGAGTGTCAAAGTTGTAGGTCTTGTAAGCAGGTATATATATATACATCAACTAATTTCTGCTTCTTCAAATCTCTCCATACTCATCCTCTTCAAACAATCATCCTTCAAAATGCATTTCACCAACTTTATTGCCTTGCTTGCTGCACCAGCTATCGTGGCAGCTACCCTCGATCCAGCTTCGTCAAACACCAAGGGTTACAAACCGAGCAGCCTGAACTGTGGTGGTGTGTGATGGCAACGAAGAATGAACGAGTTTTCTTGTGCTGACTGTCATAAATAGCCACAAAGGTCTCTAAAGCCATCCAAGCGGCCGAGTGCTCCCACAACACTCGTACTTCCAAGACCCAAACATTTGCCGTCTTCGAGACCGACCACCAATATGACTCCAACAACGGCGCTCCCTACGGCACATGCAGTGCGTATACCTGCACTGCTCCAACAAGTGATGAGTTGGAGGAGAACTCAGACTACTGGGTCTTTTATTGGAGCAGTGATGGAAAGAGCACCGGATACGGCACGACCTGTATCAAGGACCCCCAGACTGGAGAGTGTGGTTGCGAGAACTCGGATGGTACTTTTGTTGCCGGCAGTGATAGCTGTACCTAGATATACATAGGTGGAGATCTCCTGGCTATCTACTCTATAGCGATCTATGATTTACATCCTGGAAATATAAATAGATGTCCCCGAAACTGCAATCGACGGCGCTTAGAAGACGAGGTTTCTTTCTTTCTTTTTTTCCAATATATCATCTCGGGGTTGAATCTCTGCCAGGTAACAGGAATGTATTCTGTTCAATTTGCCTATAAAAACACCCCTCATTTCTATTTCATCGGCGATGGAGTTCCCCCTGACTCTCACGCCATTGGTTTGGCTGATAGCAATGATATGGGGAATCACCGAGAGCTTTCACGCCTAGGTATGGACAGTTTCCATTCTGCAGTCTGGGATATATATTGTTCGTGTCCTATGTAGAGTCTCGGATGAGATCCGAGAATCGTGCCATTTGGAAATCGGCGTGTCAAGACCTCACCATTACCTCAGACTGTTTACATCCCAGCCTCTAGTAAGGTATATTCTGATCAGTGAATCAAGAATCACCGGCGAATATATTATGAAAATGACCTTTTGTAACATCTGGATAGGCCTGGGCACAGATACCACCTCTGGTGGTTTTGCACGGAGTACAAATCGTACAGATAGAGCATTCTGCTATACTTTATTTAGGCCTTTAGGTGGGTATCTTACTAGTCAAAAAATAATAAAATACATTGATTTAATTGAAGTGTTTGTATTTCCGAAGAGGAAGACTTAACACTAGTTGTAAAGTGTGAGTAGCCTTGTTTAGATCCTTGTCGTTTCATTTGGTATCATTTGATGACACCACTCGAACGATATACACCCATACTTCCAAGGTTGTAGATCCGAAAATGTTGATGTGGATCAACTCCACCTAGCTTTTATTGGTCAATGGCTAACCTCTGAGAATACCCATCGGCCTTTTTTTTTTTTACAGAAAACCTTGGAAAGATCCTGGGACGATCTAATTTATCCTTCATTCCAAGGTTGATTGTAAACCGCTATACTTTTGCGCGACATGTATCACAAGCTTGAGGAAGCAAATATAACCAGCTCGCATAGCTCAGTTGGTAGAGCGCGTGACTAGTATTATCTCTAGTCCATCACGAGGTCTGTCGTTCAAATCGGCATGTGAGCATTTTTTATTTAATACATTTTTTTATTTCCTCCAATTGATATTTCGAAGGTTAACAGAACAGTGACATCAAAGTCAAATCCCAGTCCAGACTGAAGGCAAGCAGTTGTAAATACTACCTCACAGCACGCAAGCTTGAGGTGGACTGTTCGTCTGCGAGTTGACTGGCAGAACCACGAGTAGAGGCATTCCCCACGCATAAATTAAGAGATATCGCCAGTGCTGTCTTATATATTTATATATGAGAGTCATGCGATGCACCATGCTGTTGACGCCCCGGACCATTCACCAACTGCTAATGGAAGAAGGCAAGAGGAAATTGTCTCTCGAATGAATAAACTCCCTAGGACTGCGATACAGTGTTGTAGATACTGACTGTTAGAGCCTGAAGGAAGGGAAATAGCCAAGAGCAATATTGCTAGGATGTAATCAACAAAGTGAAAGATAATTTGTGGATTATGTGTAGCCCACATACTGTGGGACACGTCCTTGCATTCAACTATCTTAACTATCTGTAAGATGGCGAATGAATACGCCCACCTGGGCAGAGGGAAGCCACCTGTTCCACCGACAACGAAATACTACACCAACCAAATAGACGAGATAATGAATAAATCCGGCCCATATACATATGCGCCGTGAGAAATATGCCCAGTAAGAGGTGAAGTGTAAAAGGGCGGGGAAAAAGAAAGGTGTCTAGTCTAGCTGTTGGGCAAGCAACGCAAAAGACAAAAGACGAAAGACGAAGAGAAGAACGAACCAACCTTATGCTCCGAGAGCACGGGACGTTCACTGTAGAGAAGGGTAACACTCAAAGATGGCGAGGAGTTAGATGTTCGGTTGGTGGGGGTAGAACTGCAAGCTGCAATATTAGGTCAGAGACCACAAGCAATTTGAGGTTCTGATATCAATTTGATGTTGGGGACCAGCCCCGGCGGGATGGAGGGAGCGAAGGGGAGACAGGGAGTTTCAGGCGGGAGTTGCGGAGGTAACTTGGCGTTTCGCGGCTCCTTCGGTTGAACCCTGGGAATCGAAGTTGGTATTAGTTATTCTTAGTTGTCGACATCCTGGGGGTTTGGTTTGCACGGCGTTTGATCACGGGTTTCAGGGTTGATGTTTTGCCAGGTTAGGCCGATCTCACTCGCTTCGGCACACTTACGTCCAACTCGCCAATGCTGCGTTTCTGGCCCGCTGCCTCGGACCGTTTGGTAACTTTCTTCTTTGGCCGAGAGGCCCGTGTCTCACCGGGTTGGAAGACATCGTCGGGCAAGTCAAAGCTAGAGGGGTTTAGATAAAATCCACACAAGACCGGGCAGAGGAGGAACTTACCTGCGAACATGGGTGACAGCCAACTCCATGACTTCTTCCTGGTATCCCGGCCATGAGGTGCAGGTTGACTTGAAGATCTGTGAGTCGGTTGATATATCTAAAGATCGCGATTGGCCTTGAAAAAAGTTAGGAAATGTCATATAGGGGGATGCGGTGCGATTACCTGGCTCCAGAGGTTTTAGCTCCAGGCCGATGTAATAAGTCGTCGTGTAGACAGTCTGGCCATCATTATCGACCGTGCCCTCGACCTTGCCCTCGGCCGGCCCTGGGACCTCTGCATTTTCGAGGGTGTTCTGGACTGCGGCTTGGTGAGCAGCATCCTTAGTCTCATCGGTCATCGCAGTCTTTGTGCCTTTAGCCTGATATTGTGTTGACCCATTCTTGACTGCTTCCATTTCTTGCTCGTTCTTGATGAGATGGATTCTTTCAAATCCCTTGGGAAATGGGTGTGCCACTGCAACAATTGGCTTGCGATCTAAAGCACCAACGAGGTGACGCAGCTTGGACTCAACGAGACCTGACCACACGGACTCCGCCTCCTTGGTCTTGCTAGAAGCGGTGATGCTGAGATAGTATTTGTAGTCGTGGGTGAAGAATGTGTGGCGCGCAAATAGATCCTGCCACGAGAGCTGCTTCATAAAGATCTTGTCTACCATGTCGCCACCTCGCTGCAGCTCCCTGAGAATAACAGCCTTGGTGGACATGCTGATGTTGTGAGTTGCGCACATGGAGGGATAAGCAGGAGTGATGATAGGCATAAGGTGGAATCGATCACCATGGTAAATCTGATAGTTCTTAGCCCATATGGTCAGCGAAAGGGGTGCTTTGTACTTACCTTTGGGTTCCAGACTTTTATCTGAAGGGGTCCATCCTCGATCTGTTTCAATAAGACAGGCTGAGGCCAATTCCACTTGTTCATGATTCTGAAGAACTTCCCCACAATAACAGAGCCAGTTGCTTGCGGGTATAGTTGACAAACTCGAGCCACCAGCATCGCCCATGCAACACCGCCAGGGAATCCGACAATGTTGGAGTAGATCGCTCGTCCTATACAGATAATCAGACAAGTTGGATAGTGATATACAGAGACATAGTAATACTTACGTTGAGCCCAGAGTTTGATCGCACGCAATGCAAGGCGGAATGTCTTTTGTTGGGGGACAAGCTCCAGTATTTCATCTGTGACACGAGTTCCATTTAGCGATCGCACCTCTCGTTCGTCCAATCCTCTGAGATAATCATTATTCTTCAAATCCAGGTTCATCGGGATAGCGGGAACGACGAGGCGGGCAAAAATCAGATCGATACTGATTCCACACAGCTCAAGCTTGATAATTGGAACGAACGCATCCGGCACGGGAGTCATCTTTTCAATGGCTCCCTCGGAAGCCATTCTTTGGAGGATAGGGGGAAATTCAGCGAAGAAATCATCGATCAGGACATGTTTAGGTCCAACGACTAGAGTATCGATATCGGAGCCTACAAGCAATCATCGTCAATACGGACATGAGAGCTTGGATCCATACGTAGGTGAACGCTTACCTGGTCCGTATACACCCAGTCTATAACTTCCATACGTGAAGATTTTACCCCCGGAAGCCTCGACAGCAGCAGGAGATAGACCCTTCTTGCGACTGACGACTTGAACAAATTCCACTGTGACGCGCTGTAGTAACTGGAGCACTTGTTTTCTATTCCGCAATCATCAGTCTCGGGGCTCTGGCGCTTTCCTTGTTGAAATGCGAACACACCTCCGTTCCGTTTCAGTCGGTAGCTCGAAGTTGTTCTGAGCCTTGAGCTCGGCAATGAGATCGTCGTTCGCAGAAAGTTCATCCTTGGTCGGCAGGACGGTCGAGATCGGGGGTGTAACACCCCATTGTCGGACAGGTGGCGTAGCCATTGTGGGTAGGAAGCCGAGATGGTAAGATTCGAGATATAGTCTCACAAGGCGTGTGAAGATAGGGATTAGATAACGCGAGCAGAGTTGTCGACGAGCTTGCGAGGCAAGCAGCCCAGGAAGAAATTAAGTGCTGCTGGGAAAGTGAGAACAATCAATGAGAACAAATACAATTCCGTGAGTGAGACAGGAAGAGACAGAAACAGTGAGAGAAATGGAATTGAAGAAGGAAGTTGGTCGCCGCGCAAGGTTCATCGGCGCTTCCAGGGCCCCAGGGCAGGCGCTTACTCAGCGTCACATGATCGGTATCTATCTACTTTTTTTGGCGACGACGAACTAACACTACGATTTTCAACCATCAAGAGATTTCATTTATGACTGAAATCATATTAGAATGCTACATTGTCGTGTTTTGTGGCTTTGTTAGTTAATTGAGCGTGCTCTGGAGCTTCTCGGCCAGAGAATTGACTTCATCACCTCCGTTGTCTGCAAAGAATTGAGAAAGCTTGTTATCAAGCCATTCAACATCCTCCGGATTATCGCCTGGACCACCTGCCCAATCTGTCCACCCAGTTAGCTTCGTATTTACTTGGAATTTATTGTTAAACTCACGACCCCAGATCGAAGGAAAGATATCCAAGGTTCCAATGCCCGGCTTCATACAAGCAACTTCATACTCTGAGTCTTCAGGCCTGATGTGATGTGATTATCAGGTTAGTTTCACTTCGTTTAAAAGGGAGAATATATGATACCAACTTACGGGAAGTAAAGATCGGTTTTTGCCGGCAAAACCAGCGCTTTTGCTTTGATGGATGCCATCGCCTTTTCAAAGTCCCCATTGTATGGATCTTGCTGCGAGACATCACCATTTTGCCAGGTCTGTAGCATGACTAGCATATTTTCGGGTTCTTTAGAACATTTGTCAGCTCTCTGACACAACTGGTTCATTGGGATCAAACAGAACCTTTAGAACAAGCCCATTTCTCCCAGAAGTTGACCATGAAGTCTTCAAGTCCCTTGAAACCCAGCACAGTTTCATACAACTTGTGTCGATAGAAAGCCTGACTGAATCCCCTGTTTCCATTTGGGTCAGATAAGGGTTAAAAGTTAAACGTCAACACAGAATTTCTTACCATCCAGCATACACACGGCCCAATGCCTTGAGGCCAATATCCTTCTCTTCAGCTGTCCAAGCATGCGCTTCTGCCGTCTCTCTATTAAGGCCGATCTCTCCTGGCCCCGCAGATCGGCTCTTCTTCACCGCAATCAAAGAGCTTTTGACGCCCTCAAGGAAGACCTGGTTGTGCAGCGAGGTTTTCGCAGCCGTACAAAATGGAACCACAAGATCCATGAAGTCAGGATACTGAGTTGCCCATTGGAAAGTCTGGGCCCCTCCCATAGACCAACCAACAACGGCGCGCAAATGCGTGATGCCCATGTGTTTGGTAACCAGCTCATGCTGAGCCCGCACATTGTCGTAGAATGACACCTTCGGGAATGGCCCGGGGCTCGGCTGGTTGGATGGAGAGGAGGACTGGCCATTTCCGAACAGGGCTGGAACTATGATGAAGAAATTGTTCGGGTTCAGGAGCTTGTCATCTCCGATCAACCAGAAGTTGTCGGATAGCGCTGGAAGCAGTATTAGAGTGGTTTGGGGGATAATATAGGATCGTATCTAGATATACCTCCGGAAAACCAAGTTGGATAGACGATTGCTGGAGACTTGGGATCGCCAAATGTCTTGTATGCGATATGGGCATTCTCGATCCTCTCCCCGCTCTGGAGCTCCCAGTCTCCAAGCTTGAAAGTTTCGTATTGCTCCTGTGACATGATCGCTTTTTTGATGGAACCTTGGAAACAGTATGAAGTGAAATGATACTTGTCTTTGATAAATGGGTATCCTCCAATTTATAGTTCTACAGTTGGAGATACTTATCAACCCCGCTCTGCCCTCCGCATGAGACACGGCTTGAGTCGGAGCTCCTTATCCCCCGTCGATTTGAAATATATAGGTGTGAAACATCCCACCAAGGAATGTTTGTAATTTCGGCGAGATATCTAGTAAGCATCTAGGATAGATTCAAGCTAAAATTGCTAGGTAAACCCCAAGAAATGGGCCCGGCCCCGATGGGATACCGTGCTTACAAAACTTCCTCCGGAATTAGGAGCGGGGTGGACAACCTTGCCCAAAAAGTCCTACATAAAGGTTACGTATACTGAGCAGGAGACACCTACATTGTACATACATGATTGTACTATTGGTTTGCAGATTGTGCATCAAAGTTTATACAAGCTGATTTTTTGCTTCTGGCTGTATGACTTCAGAATCTATATACTCTATTATATGACAAAGCTCTTGGGGGTGAAACCAGAGCTCTAAAATTGTGGTCTAGGGATCTCCATGGCCTCCGTGGTTCGACCATATGAGATACCACCTAGACGACTAATAGGCTTGAGAACCTTCAGGTCGACGACATTCCTTTCCTCATTGACAGCATCATCCCTAACCCAGAAACGAACACCCTCAATAATAGCAAGCACACCCGATTTCTTACCCGGGGTGACCCGACTCTCAAACTCCTTCAATTCAACAAGCTTGCCCTCAATAGAAAGAATGGACTCCTTGACACGGGCAGGCTTCACAACAGAGGTAGGTGCCTGGTGCAGCCCCGAGGTCTCCCATTCGGAGACACCGTAAGGGGCATTTATAGCAGTAGAGTTGGCAGCTTCAATGAAATGCTCGGAGATAATGTTGATAACACACTCCCCAGTCTCACTCAGGTTCTTCAATGAATCCTTGGCTCTCTCCATCGACCCAGAAAAGCCAACCGTGAACAGCGGCGGGTCGTGGTTGATGACCTGTGCATAGCTGAACGGGGCGAGGTTTGTGGTCTTGCCATCCGCAGACTGAGTACTGACGAGTGCGATCGGTCGTGGGACCATTCCTGAAATCAGGAACTTATAGTTCGAGGCCACGGGCCGGCCCTCCTCATTGGGGTCGATCTCGATGTGGTCCTTCTTCAGGCTCTCGCCGTCGTCATTTGCGCCATCGCCTTCCTTCCATGTGGGTTTTGGGGACTTGGTGTATGTGATCTCGGCGTCGCGGCGAAAATCTGGCCGCGAGGCTTGGGTTTCTTCGAAGTCCGGGTGGACTTTCAACATTGCGCCGGTGTGGCTAAATAGTCGAGTGGGGTGATTGGGTTGGAATGGTGCGCGGATGGTTAAAAGACGATTGGCACTTGAGATTATAAATCAGCGATGGTGTCAGTGTGCATGTCCACCCCACGGGTGGGCTGCCCCGCGTAGCAGGTGTGGTGACGAGAGCGTCACCTCCGTCATGCTCTCTAGAAAGTGAAGGCAGTGAAATACTTACTAAGGTTCCAACAATGAGAGCCTCCGAGTATTTCGGAAGGCAGATCCAAGTAGACACATGGAGGCAATGAAGGCAGTTGTTTGATTTCGTCAAATTCTTATCGCATTTACTATCTCTAATACAAGCCTCGGTTGCAGCTTAGTGCCACCGGTGGATTTGGCTGAAAATTTGTATTGCCACGCGCTGTATGCCGCCTTATCTCATAAAAGGTGTGTGTGGATATACTTCCTATACCGACTATCGGGCCGACTCCGGGGAGATCCCCGGGGGGGGAACAATGCCCTGGAGAAATCACACCGAGTCATGTCATAGGGATTTTCAATCCTCCCATATGTAATAAACCTCTGTTTAGCAGGCTCCAACGGATTATCATGAAATTGTGTATTATATAGAACATTAAAACTTGAAAACACTAATATCGGGCATATAAACCCCAACGCTAGTCCCTTCTCTTGGGACATGGAAGAACAAAAACTATAAAAGAAGTATGTACATAGTTCTTTTTGCCTTTCTGGTTTTACAATCAGGATTCTTAGAAACCTCCTCAAAAGGATAGTCAAGAGTCAAGAATGATAGACAATAATAAAGACGTCTAGAAGAGTTTAAAACAGATGGTAAAAGGAGTAAAAAAACATCATAAACGGCTGGCTAAAAGCACCCTTCACCTGACCTTCTGGAAACTGCCCATGTGGAGCCTTTCAGTAAATACTGTATTCTACAATCCTTCGGGGAGGGATTTCCCTGATTGGGAAATTCCCCAAGCCCTTTAGTATAAGCTTAAATATACCTAGGTAACAAACCACCTTGGAACCAAATCAACCATTTTAGATGCCCACGAGTATATATACATGTGTGTTGCTAAGAAAAAGATTAAAACGATTCCAAATTTGATATACTCCCTTGAAAACGTGGGGGAGTGAAATACGGGCCCAAACCCACTCTCCCCATAAAAGCCCCATATGCCCCAAAGTCTGGACTCTAGGTACTCGGAGTTGATGCGATGAATTTCAATGTTTTGATCCTATTCTAAATCTTTTAATTCATTGAAAATCCATTATTTTATATTTTGATTTTGTATTTATATATTCCCTACTATGTACACATGTACATGTATTTCTACCTTAGGAGTAAAGCAAGCATAGTACATTATATGACATATAAAACACAAGGATCGCCCCCAGACATCCCATGACCGATTGTCGCTCCCGAACGGGGATGGTGTGGCTCTGTTTCCGGCGTAGCGGTCAAGGGGGGGGGAATCGACTCCGATGTTTTCGATCAGAACATTACCTTACACAAATACATCGTGAGATTTCCAAAAAGTTTGGGAAATGTAAAATGTGCCCTGAGAGTGGCGTAGTACAAGCGAGGGCAATCACGAGGGCTTATCGACTCCCCTCTTCCCCAACTTTTCTCCCTTGAACACTTCACACCACTTTTTGATCCCTTATTGGCCTTGACATATTGGCCCCCGTTTATTTCCCTCATGAATTTTTCGCTACACACCTTCCCTGCCTCATCTGTTCGACCCTTCTCCCTGAATCTTAGAATCAAAGCTCCGCGCCGAGAACCCACCGACTCGCTGAAGCTGAAAGTGTGCAGGTACCCAATGGGTCGAGGCCACGGATAATTATTGGCTCGCCATGAGCCCTCCTTCTCCCAAGACGAAGAATGGCGGCAATCCTTCTGCCCCCAGACAAATCCGCTTTGTCGCAACCGACGGGCAGCCGCAAACCAAGCGCCGCCGCGTTAATGCCGCGTAAGTGGACCCCATGGAGTATAATTTTGTCGGTCAAGACGCTGACGTCACTTTGTTTTGTTTTGTTTTAGCTGCTTAACATGTCGCCGGCGCAAGATTCGATGTTCCGGTGAACAACCAGGTAGGATATGCAGGATGTCTCGCTTGCGAATACCTCGCTGACGGAATACGCGAGGAAAGTGTGTAAGACTTGCTCCGACTACAAGCATGTCTGCCTCGGATACACCGAATCGACCGCACACCTGCGAACGCAGTCCGACTCCGCACCCCGAGCGCCGCCGCGCCTTTCCGCTCCGAATGAATTGACAAGCCAGCGCGCTTCCCGGGCAGTCGAAAGCAGCTCCCCCGAACCAACGCCAACATCGATACCCAAGGCCCCCGCGGATAAGTCCATCCAGACGAAAGCGCCCGGATCAAAGGATATCTCTTCTTTTGGGGATGCTTCTTCACTCGCGAACAAGGAATTGGATACACAAGCTATTGGGGACAGTCCAGCGAGTGGTCGTACCTCTGTGAGTTCAGGGAGTCGCACGCATGTCCCATATTTTCGATACTTCGGCCCTACCGCGATTGTACCGGGTTTTAAACAAATGGTTGTGCAAGTTCGAGGTTCTCGCAGGAGTAACCCGTCTACGTCCTCAGACTCTCCCTCTCCTCTTCGGAGCCCTAAACCGTCCGATATTCCCACAAGACCCCTGGTCACTGCCGCGGATAATAGGGAAAGCCGCGATTCGAACATCCCATTTTATGACCGAGATGATACGCTTCCAGTTTCGAATCTTGTATCCCATTTATGCGAACTCTTCTTTGCCCACCTGGGCTGCAGCTTTCCTTTCCTACAACGAGAGAGGTTTCTCCAGGACCTCAAAGAGAAAAAGGTTGACACCATGTTGGTAGACGCAGTGTGTTCGTTAGCTGCGAGATTCTCAATTCATCCATCACTTGGTCCTCCACAGGCACCTCCTATCGATCGCTTGCAACGGCCACTTGACGATAAAAAGTGGGATCGTGGTCTGCCCTTCGGTCATCGTGCGATGAGCGCTCTGGTCGATTCACTGCCATGTCCAACTCTTTCTGCCGTCCAAGCCTGCTTATTGCTCGCTTATGAACAATTCGGATCAAATCACGACAGTGGACTCTGGATGTACCTTGGAATATCCATTCGCATGGCACAGGATCTTGGGCTGCAGAAGGTCCAAGGTCTCAAACATAATTATGGCAAGAGCGGCGTCACACCGAGTGAAGTGATGACAGGCCATGCTGGGAAACTAAGAGAGGAACAGTATGATGATCTTGATGTACATCTGACACCCACGACTGCCCAACAGCCTTCGGTTGAGGAGCGTGCCCGGGAGCGCGAACGGGTAGACTCATTCTGGAGCATCTTTTTCCTAGACCGAGTCATCTCCTCGGGTACCGGGAGGCCAGTGACACTACGCGATGAGGATATTGAACTCTGCTTCCCTCTTCAGTCTGAATCTCAGCTACCAAATGGGTGGCCCGCGCCTTTCCCACCGCTTATTCGGATCATTCATCTGTACGGCCGGGTGACCGACCTTATTAATGGCATCCAGGATGTCAAGCTCGTCACGCCTGACACGTTGAAGATGTTGGCTGGGATGGAAAGCGATCTGACCGGCATCTATCAACGCTTGTCCCCAAGACTTCATTTCAACGCAGCCAATTTTCAAGCCTATGTCAAAGCCAAAGAGGGGACTAATTTTATTCTTCTCCATTTTTGGTTTCATACTCTCATTGTTCTCCTTCACCAACCGACATTGTTGAACTCATTTGGTGGATCAATCCAACATCTCTATCCGAATAGTCGTGAGCTGTCGATGTCATCTGCCAAAACTATTGCCGATATCCTATCCTTCTCCGAGCTTGTTGATGGGAAAAGCTTCATTGGCAACCCTTTCACGAGCCAGCCGATGTACATAGCAGCGTGCGCATTCCTCATGGAAAGTGCTTACTATGCGTCTTCATCCTCGGGGGCTGAGTCACACCAACCTCAGCCATTGTTGGCGAATCAATCCAGTGGGTTCGTGATGCCCACTATGGAGTCCTCAAATGGGACAGAACGGAAGTCTACGGCGAAGCATATCCTGCTTGCTTCTGCCGCCAAGGAGAATTATCAGCGGTGTTATAAGGCCTTGAAAGCACTGAATACGTATTGGGAAGGCACTGGGTATATTCTGACAGTGCTGGATCAGAAGGCCAAGGGGATTGTCGATCCTCTCCTTTACGCCGTGGAGGATATCGAAAACACCGAAGGTATCGCCCCAGGGCAGCCTCTTGGGCCAGGAGCTTGGCGTGCAGGCAAAGCACCGACGGACTCTGGCTTTGATCCAGAAAGACCAGCCGGGGTCGCGGATATCTCATCTGATGGGAAATGGTCACCACACATTGATCCAAGTCAAGGTTTGTTGGATCCGTTGGTATCCATGATAAGCATATCACTAACAGCTTATGTCTCGACAGCTATCGGGTGGGCACTCACAGGAGCAACCAATTCTTCACAGCCCAACTTGAGTCTACTCTATCAGATGTCCACGACTGAGGCGGAGTCTCCGTCCAATAGACCAACATACTCATCGCAGTACAGCCACAGCTACCCAGTCCTGCCAACAGATGCCGGCGAAGGGCCAAGCTCTTCATATCCACAATCTATTGCACCAGCCAGGGCTCACGAAGAAATGACACCCTCACTCGCGACAGGAAATGCTAAATACCCCGATGTTCAATCCAGAACAATTAGCACTGACCCCTCTTATTACATGGGCATAAATCCAACGTATCCCGAATCAAACACGCGAACAACACGCCCCGCAGAGACAGCACATTCTACTTTTCCCGGGATGTTATCCTCCGGGCTACCAACTTCACATATGGATACCCAGCCCTCCCCCTATAATTACTCGATACCTCAATCGACAGCCGAGCACCAAACCAGAGACCAAATGGGATCTCATGACCCAGGTGCCGATCTCCAGCCGACCATGGACGATGCCCACGGGATGATGATCGGGAGTCATGAGGTCGATATGAACTCTATCCACCATCAGGACTCTTTCCCGTTCGTTAACGGCGAGATCCTTCCGTGGCTGGAATACCTCCCTCAAGATGTCCTCAGTTTCTTCGGTGACCATCAAAATTATCCCCTTCTGAGCCCTGATGATGTGTCACAGCCTCCGTAACGTTTGATGTTCCTTTCCTATAGTACATATATCTTTTGGGACGGTTTGCATTTGCATGTGTTCCAGCGACTGGCTTCTGCTTTTCTTTATATATTTTTGACCGAGATATGCTTTTCTGGCGTCAGGTTGGATGATATCCTTGGCCAGCACTAGATCGCCTGATTTTGGTTGTGTATGTACCCCGGCATGTTTGACTTGGTGTTCAAGTGCCGTCATTTTTAATAGACTCAAAACAAGACTTTCTTTGCAGCATTGATTCCTCCGAGATCCCGCCAGAAGGTATAAAAGCCAGGATAAGTTCCATGTTCAATATCTACGATGTACAAGAACAGTCGGCCGCTTATGCGGCCTTGCCAAGTCTTTTTCAGTAGTCCTTTATGTTAGACTTTTCAGAGTCATTTGAGATGTCTTTTTAGATGTCTTTATTGGTGGTCTTTATTGGTGGTCTTCTTAGATCGTCTTTTCAGATGTCTGTTTTTATAGATATTTTCTCCCCGTTCTTAGTTTGCTAAGTAGACGACGGAAAAGGCGGAAAAAAGACTTAAATTGTGAAAACGTCTTTTCTATGTATAGCCTTTGACTCGAGGACATCGTGTGGCTTGATGATCGACCATGTCAGTCGGTTGCCCAGAACAACGGGGGCGGTGAGCGACTTGTCAACACACGTTCAGTTGTCTTGGATTCCACGTTGACACAAAGGGAGGAGGTATGTGGAATTTGGTTTCACCAAGTCCCTAGATCTTTGTTTTCTTATAACACTCGGAAACGTCAGAACGCAGCCTCCCGCCGTCGCAGAGAATCTCATGGCGCGGTTAAATGACGATAGTCAACAAGACGTCGATTGCACAGAGATCTTAAGCCCACAACCATTTGCCCCTCAAGGCAAAGGCTTCCTCGTATCCTCCCTCGAGTCTAGCAACGAGTCATACCCTGCCGATAATGCCCAGATGTCCGCCACCCAAGAATATGAATACAACTCTTCCTCCTCCTCCACCCGCCATTCAACAAGCGACGTCTTCGGCCGTGAAATGGACGATGAACTAGACCAACTGAAATCCAGAGCATCGAGTCGCTCATCACTATCCTCAATCCCGGCCTCCGTCCTCATCCACCCAGTCGACAGAATGAAACAAATGCCAGACATGGACATTCACGAAAAGATAGCTGGCTACAGAATAGAAGAGTCCGAAGCTAGCTTCGGCGACTTCAACGACATCCCCGCTAACATCCGCACCATCCGCCAGCGCGAAGCCGCCTTCCGAAAACCGAGTTCCGTCAGAGCGATGCAGATGCACACAGAAGACGAAGCCGATGACGACGAGTATCTAACACCCCCACGCCGACGACAAGCCCTCCGGTCACGATCACCTGGGCCCTCGCCACTGAAACGGTCACCGTATTACTCGCCCAATGCATCGAAACAACCAAAGCCAAGGAAAGAGGCTCCACTTGTGCTGCTGCATTGCACCTTGCTCCCGCCGTCCATCCCAGTACCTGGAGCATCGGACCCTAGGAACCAGGATATTTTGGAAGACGAGCTACCGGCGGAATACTGGAAGCGCTGGCGGCGGCTGCAGGATCGAGTTGGATCGGGTGTGCTGCGCGATCGCGGCGTGCTTATCTCGCACCCGGAGGATCTGTACGACATTCTAGAGGAGCGACTGTTGGAGAGTCTCGAGCTGCAACGACCACGGCTGCAGAACGGACACTTCGTGGGTCGGGAGGACCATGCCTCTGGCTCCGGCTCCGAGGGAGATTTCTCGGATATCGGAGAGAGCGAGACGGACGGCGAGCAGGGCGATGAGTGTCCCGACTGTGGGAACCATGTGCCGCACGGAGATAGCAACCGCAAATGGGAGATTCGGGTATTTGCCGCGAACGGGCTTATGCGCGCTGGGGCGTGGGCTGCTGCATGGCGCGATATGGAGAAAGTTGATGTCGAGGTTGGGCTTTGGTTACCTTCTGATGTCCGCCGAGGCCTGGAGAGGAGGCTTGCGGAGGAGCAGATGTCAGTTATGGAACAGGCTCAGAGTCAGATGCCGCAGATGCAGATGCAGATGCAGATGTCGCCATCGGTTGATGGTGGGCATCAGGTCCCACCGGAGATTCTGCAGTCGCCTAGGCAGAGTCATGCTCGTATGATCAGTGATGTGGGGTCTTTCCAGTCTGATGAGATGACTTTCAGGCAGGCTTTCCCTGAAGCTGGAGCTCGCCTCGACCATGCGCCTGAGTTTGGACGGGAGAAGAAACAACACGAGGTTGCTCTTTCGACTCTATTCGTCAATTATATCCGTGTTCTGGCGGCCGATAGGCGCAATCTTGCCCTGCTTCTTCTCAGTGTCCTTGTCGCTTTCCTTGCTATTGGTTCTCGCCAGCAGCAAGTCCCTGTCTATTCCCATCTTGGTTCTTTTTCGCCGGCCTTGTCGAATGATATCTTGCCCTCCCCAGCTATGCCGAGTTTGAGCATGGCTCCATCTATGTCTCCTTCTGTCTCTCTTGCGAGCTCGGTCAGTTCGAGCGAAGCATTGGTCGTGAGCTCAGCTGGCTCTGTGTCGACTGAATCTGTGGGTGCTAGTGCGAGGGAGATGATTCCAATGTCCGAGATAATAAAGCCTACTTCTCTGACTGTTGACTCTCCTGATTCTCAGGCTCAAGTTGAGGAGGCAGCAGATTCTTCTTCTTTGTCTGCGGTCCTTATTGAATCTCCCATTGTGCCTTTGGAGTCCGCGGCGCCTATAGAGACCACGACGCCTCAGCTTGAGGGCACCGACTTGGATAACACTGTGGACTCTTCTGTTGTGTCTTCTCCTTCTTCCACTGACTCTATCGACTCTTCCGTTCTGTCGGAGGTGTCTACAGAGACTACACAACCTCAACCTGAGGACAACGCACATGATCTTTTGGATGACACTGTGGACTCCCCTGCTGCGTCTGCAGAACGCTCTCCTTCCCCAACTGACTCCGATGAATCTCCCGTTCTGTCAGATATGCCTGCAGAAAACGAGGAGCCCCAGCTTGAGAGTGAAACAGAAATCCTTTTGGATGACAATGCTGGACCTCTCACTATGTCCGCAGAGTCTTCTCCTTCTACTGACTCTATCGATTCTCCCATTTTATTGGATGTGGCTACAGAGACTGCACAGCCTGATACTCAAGGCGAAAAAGAAGCACAGCACGAAGAACACGAACAATCGGATTGATCTTGGGAAAGCATTACTTCTATTCCCAACCTTATGACCACGACTGGAACGATATCAGGCGAAATGTTTGGGATTTTTATGATTTTTTACCATGTTCCTTTCCATTTTGGCGTCTTTTGATGATTTAGCCATAGCCCCTCGTTAGTTGAGTTTTATGATACTGTTTATATTAGCGAGCCTCATCTGCTCTTTCAACTTTATAAATTATTGTATTTCAATGCAATATGTACTGACATGAAACAATGCCAAGCCCCTAGACTTTGATATCTCCACTTTGCCCCCAGGTCCTCCCGCTCGCTTAGTGATCGTCCTTTTCCAATAGATTAGATATTGGACAGATATTGGATATTAGATTTGTTAGATTATGCATGAACAGACATCACTTGAGTGTAGATCGAATGTGGTTCATACATGTAGCCTGTGCCTATGTACATTATTAAGCCCTGAAGCGATGGATCTGTGCTCAAGACAAATGCGGGGCAAGCCAGATCACAATGAGCCGTCTACGTTGTTACATCGCGCACAATGTAGATCAGGAACCAAAAAGGAACAGAACTGATTCAAAAGGCTCGATATTATTGATTATCGATTAAAGGTAAGGTTAGTTGAACGAGTTCGATTTTGTATTGGGCAGGTTCAAGTGTCACTGGCCCCAGCGAATGTATCCGTCAACCCAGCATAAGTCACAACCTTCGTAAAAAAGTGCTAATCACGTCCAGACCTTCGTAAGCTTCGTGACAGGAACATCTAGTAACCGCCGCCGTAACCACCCTGGCCACCCTGCTGCTGACCGCCGTAACCCTGACCCTGACCACCGTAACCGCCCTGGCCACCACCGTAGCCGCCACCCTGGCCGCCACCGTAGCCTCCGTTGCCGCCACCACGACCGTAACCACCGCCGCCGAAGCCGCCGCGACCACCGCCACCACCGGCAGCGCGCTCAGTAGCCTTGTCAACGCGGATCTGGCGACCGTCGAACCTGGAAAAGAGATGGTTGTCAGCATACATTTTCAACGGGAGTAAGGAGACCGTTCATGTTCGTGCTGGAAAGGATGACGCCCATGATCCGCGACTCTTTTCAGCACGACTTTACTGGTCGCTTGATGAAGAGGAATGAGATGGATCAGATTGCTTACTCCTGGTTGTTCATAGACTCCATAGCGGCAGTAGCCTCTTCATCGGTAGAGAAGCGGACGAAACCGAAACCGCGGCTGCGGCCGGTATCACGGTCCTTGACAACGGTCTATAGGAAGAAAATGAGGTCTTAGAAGGTGCGATCAGTTATGGAAGTCAGAGCGACTCACAGCATCCTCGACAACGCCGAATTCCTCGAAGCGCTGGCGCAGACTGTTGTCGTCTGTGCTCCAGGAAAGACCGCTAGAAAAAGTTGGTCAGCGGGCGCATGTTAGATATTCAGGGTCGCTCTTACCCAATGAAAAGCTTCGACATTTTGATGGAAATGGGGAGAGAGAGATGAGAGAGGGAAAGGGGTGTGTGAAGAGGGGCACAGCCGAGCCTGATCTTAAATACAACCCGGGACGGAACAACATCACCCCACAGAATTACTGATTCCTCGTTTTTCAGGCTTTACTTTTTTCATTTTTTTCAATTTTGGTTTAGTTCTTTGATGTGATTTTGCCTGGGAATTATTTGATGTGTAAGTATGACTTTATGGATACTTGTTTGGGTAATATGTTTACCCCCAGGGCTGTCTAGATGGCTTTGTCATACATAGTGGACCCATTATCCCCACGCTGTCGATAAAAAGTGGCGCTAGATTCACATATGGCATGATTTTAAATAGTATAATCATGATAAACAATATAATATAAAAAATAAACAAGAATAATAGTATGATCGTGAAACAACCAAATTTAGAAAGCTTACAGCTGTTCTCGTTATGAGGTCATATTATCTGATCTAGAATCACCCCACCCATAGACCTTCTCTATAAAATCATCTGTTCTTCCACTCAACCTTGAAAACAACCCAATTCTACAAATCCAACTTCCAAGTCAATACTCAATATGACTGTCACTGAAATCACAAGGTAACCCTCCCTACCTCATCTACACAAATACATAAATACATAAATACACAGACTAACACCCACCACAGCAAAGCCGACTTCCTAGAGAAGATCCTCGGCACAGAAGACCCTGTCCTCCTCGACTGCTACGCGGATTGGTGCTCACACTGCAAAGCCATTGCACCCAAGTTTGATGAATTGAGCAACACCTACACCCAAGTCAAATTCTACAAGGTGGACGTCGATAAGGTTGAGGATGTCGGACAGGAGCTAGGTGTGCGGGCTAAGCCTACATTCATGCTATTCAAGGGTGGGGACAAGATCACTGAGGTTGTTGGGGCTCACTTGATTGCCGTTGAGGAGGGAATCAAAACTCATCTTGTTTGAGTGAGAGGGCGTGGTTGACTTGTTCTTTTCTTTTCCTTTTTTTTATCCACCGAGGTGCTGCGCTCGTGGAATACATATCCCCAGCCATATGATACGCTCGTTACCTTGTTATGCGGACATGTCATGATCAGACAGCTGCTACTTTGATTTTATTTTTAATGGAGATAGTACTTTTATCAAAGCTGCTTAAGAGGAATCATATTCTCAACTATAACTTCATTTTTGTAGTGCATTCATACAGATATCGCTCCCACATTGGGCACTCTCCCATTATCCCGTATACACTCACAAAATACACCGTGCAACCTACAACAAAAGTACCTAAGTAAACATCACGCCAAAGATGGCCTCAGAAGTCCAACCTATATACTCCCCAGACATCTATCTCCCATTATACTCTTTTCCTTTTATATCTCATATACCCTCCCCTAAAACCCAGCAGCAATCGAATAAGCCGGTGGGACAGTAGGCCAAACATCGACCCCATCCAACATCGCCAAAACCATGCCCCCACTCTGATGAACCTGAATATGACAATGCATCAAGAACGCACCGGGATTAACAACATGATACCTGATAGCCGTCCAAGTCAAACCCGTGACAGCCGGCAAGGTATGGAAGGTATCACGATACTGCGGCGTCTGCAGATTGAAGCTACCAGGAACAGCCTGTACCGCTTCCGCGACGGAACCCCAACTGAAAGTCCCATTTCCCTGACCGATGATGAAATGCTTATTCGAGTGCTTGTGAATCGGATGCGGAGGCTGCAGAATGGTATCCGTCTGAAGAATCAAGTCGATCCAGGTATTATTCTTCGTCCTGATGATCAAGTCACTGGGAATGGAGTTCTGATTGAAAAGCAATGGCTGTGCTTCCTCGAGCTCGAGGCCGTAGCTGGTATTACCGAGTCTCCAGCGGTACGCGGCGCCGACTTGGTTGATGTGCAGGAAGAAGGTTTGTGCTATATCGTTTGACGGGACGAGTGCCGGGAACGGGACGACGCGGGCCTCGTGTAGGAAGACGGTGTCTGTTCTGGCGGGTTCGTTGTTGATTTGGATCCATGGGTTGGATGGACGGCTTTGCTGCGGCAAGCCTTGGTATCGCATTATTGCGGTCGTGTTGAGGATCTGGTTTATGCTGGCACTGACAATCCGCACGGTGTAGTCTCCCGCTGCTTGGGTGAGGGGGATCAGCACCGAGTAGCGGTTTGAGTTTGGGATGGTGACTGCGTTGACTTTTCGGGGCTGGATGTAGCGTCCGTCGATGGCGTATACCCACATGTCATGCTCGTCGATTGAGAAGGTGAGCTCTAGTAGGCCGGCTGTGCTGGTGAGATCCCAGCTTACGTATTGCTGGGCTGCGTTGACAGTGAAGATTTCTTGGGGACCTTGAGATGGTACGCAGCCTTCGAACATGGTTGGGGGGATGACATCGTAGTTATGTGGGAAATTGAATACTGTTTCGGTGATATTGGGAGGGAAGCATCTAGTGATGAAGTTAGTTTATTGACCAGGATCATCAAAATAGTCATTCGACCACGACGGATCAATATACTCACGCCATATCTGTTAATCTTAGTTCATCACCCAGGCTCGTTTTCTGAACGGGTGTTGTCAGGGCATCAATCTCGGCACGTGGCAGGCAGGTGATGGACCCTTTCCCGTTAATGAGCAAAGCATTCGCACAGAATGAATCTGTGCCAGAGGCCAACTCGGCAGCCCAAATCTCCTCCGACGTGAGGACACGCCATTCCGAAAGCAAGACGGGACAGGTCACACTCTCCGCTTGGATCATAGCTCTCAGCTGAGCAGGATTGGTTGTGATAAGACTGAAAGGCTTTTGCACCGAGGAGGCAGGGGTGATATAGATTGGTCCATAAAGGCCATCTTCGAGAGAGCCACGGTGATGAGCATGATACCAATAAGCCCCGTACTCAGTTGCTGTCCATCTATACAGGAACGAAGTGTTCGGTCTGATGGATCTCTGGGAGACACCTGGGACTCCATCAGACCAAGGAGTTCCCAGCTGCTCTATTCCTGTAAGATAGTGAGTTTGTATGTAAATGCCAGATCAGACCAAGCTATCCAAGAGCTTACCATGGAAGTGTATAGTTGTATTGAACGGGCACCGGTTATCAACGAGGAACTCAACATTATCGCCCTGGTTAATCCGCAGCGGGGGACCAGGAAACTGGCCATTTGTAGATATCACTGGTCTAGACACTCCTGCGACGGTTCTGTTCGACCACGTCAAGGTAACTGGAAAGAACACCGTAGCCGCAGATGTCCATTGGACGAGGCATAGAAGCCAGAGGGGCAGGCTTCCTAGAGTGAACTTCATATCTAATGATGTCACTAGACTGGCAATCTGTATCAAATTGAATGGCTGGCTCTTGATATCCCATACTTTTGACGGGATTCCCGCCCTTTTATGTGGGCCCAGGGCGAGTCATAGAGCATTGCGTGGGCATATGCATCTCGGAGTTTTCATGCGGTTCTATCACATCAGATGCATGATTTTCATGGGAGCCTCTTGCTTGCGAGCTCGTATAGGCGCAAAGAAAAGGAATAATCTGTTCATGCTTTTGTCGGGAACCAATCTACCCCCTCGGGGAATAGGCGGAGGGGAAATCCATCGGAGGATCAGTATATTGGTCTTGGGTCTTGAAGCCTGTTTCGCAGCTAACAATAGTCCAAGGCAGTAACATTAGCTCGTATTCTTCCATTTGAAGCAAGGGACATGATTGGGAACAGCAGGCCGACTCCGGGCGAATGAAGCACTGTTCAAGATATCCATTCATATCTCGGAGACGGTAGTCCCGAAAAGTAGCTTGGCAGTGCTGTAGGGATAAACCTCCGAGGAAGGAGTTGGAACCTGCTTATGTGTAAGCATAAAGCTCTAAGCGGGCAGGTCCAAGACAGGGGACCCTTTGAGCGTTCGGCACGTTGCTGAGGTGGTGTATCCGGGACGAATGGCGCATGCTGGGTGCAAAGTTTCCATAGCCGTGGGAGAGTTTGACTTGGGTCAGAGTTTCGGTACGCTACCTGTCACACAGGCGAGAATAAATATCACTGGTCTGATCAAAGAACTGTCGGTCTCGGTCGTCATCGGAATGTGAGTCAACCAGTCACAAGTCAGGTTTCATCGAAAAGGGTCGGCGGAAACCTCAATTCCGGACTCATCATAGAGCCACGTGCTGATAACTGAATCAAGGCACGCATTTTTCAGGATGAAAAACAAAAGCCTTAGGTGAGGGAGAGAAGGGAGCTGGGGGAAGTTGGGTTCCAAATTGAACCACCCGCCACAAGAGTGACGTGTGGAAACTGCCTGGATGGAGCTAAGATCTAAAACAAGAGAAGGAAAAATGGAAAACGTCAATTGATTTGTGGTATTGTTGAAAACGTGATTAACATCCAAGTTATATGATATGAAATAAGAAATATTGCAACAATTTTGTAAAGTCAATTTTTCTTGCCATGTGTGAATCTGCATGGGGCAAGATGAAAGATATCAAAAGTTGCCATTGCCAAAGTACCCTGGCATGTCATCATGGGTAGCATTCGATGCAGGAGGGTGGTCCACTTTGGGATTGAAAATAGAAACCGGGTCTGAAGCAGACACCTCACCCACACGAGACGGGGAGATGGGCTGAGCAAGTAAGCCGCTGTTTGGCCATCCTTGTTGTTCGGACCTTTTTTGACCATCAGCGCGATCTGGATGCAAGCCTTCCAAATCATCCGGGTTGATTTCACCGTAGCTGTCATTCAGTCGTTGAAGGAATTCTGGGTCAAATCCCATTTGTACCAGAGGGTCAGCTGTGCCTTCTCCCGGCACAGACGCGGTAGTCGGAAGACTACTAGCCCAATCCGTAGAGAAGGGCGGATCAGGACCAGCTGACATCATTCCTGCACTGCCAGCGTAACTGCCTGATAAACTCCCCGGTCGGCTGGGCCCGGCAGAAGAAAACCCAGTGCCAGGAAAGCCGTGACTGCGAAGACTAGGGCTAGAGACTGCAGGGCTGTGGATGGGGGCCCCTTGGCATACTGCTCGCGCTAGCATATTGATCTCCCGGGGTGCAGCTCGGAGGCCGCCATTGATAGCGAATGGAGGCTGCATGCCCAAATCAGCAAATTGGATGCTGTCGTTGTTCACAGGAGTCTGTAATCCACAATCGCGCTTGAGGACACCCAGCCAAACAATATTATCTGCGCAAGTCTGGTTCCAAGGATCGTCACATCCATAGATGACACGGCGAGCTTCTGCTTGTATCATCTGATCTGATGGAACAAGACCTTGTGCCTTTTGGCTATGGATGTATGTAGTGAGTTCGCGAGAAAGCCGATGGTAACAATTGATATCCGTAGGGACAGGAAGGCTAAGAGTAGTGCCATCTCCCTTAGCTTGCTCAGTGGCCCAGGGATCAGGAGACCGCCATTCATAGTCAATCATGTACGGGGGAATGGCGTTTTCGACGCGAGCTTGAATCTGGGGGTCAAAGCCCCAGTCCCCTTGCCATTGAGCCATGCTGGCTCCATTTTTGAAATGACCGGCCAAATGGTCTACTCGATCTTTCCATGTCTGGAAGATAGAGCCACAGAACCCACAACGGGATTTGATATCTGTAATGCTGCTTTGCCATTTCTCCATGCAAGGTTGGAACTTGGCATTGTGCATCAAGCGGAGGTGTTGATTGAGATGATCCTTCCGGTAAAATGTTCTCTCTTGCACTGTCTTCTCTTGGCAACTGATGAAGTTATGAGTTTCTAAGTGTTCATCGTCTGGATTAGCTGCCAAGCAGAAGACACAAAGAGGTATACCGTTTTCTTCAATTGCACCGCCGTGGGGGGAGCAGGTCCATTTGTCCAAGATTAGATGCATGGACTTCTCGTGCCGCTGCCAGTCATACTTAGCAGGGAAGGAGTCGGTACAGAAGGTACATTGGTAAGGACGAGCAGTTTTGGCCTTTGAATGGGCCAGAGTATTGACAGGCACTGATACCTTGCGGCGGCGACGACGTTCTTTGCGATCCATTGAACCAAAGGAAAGAGAGGATCGATGTGAGAAGGCAGAAGCAAAAGAGAGATCAGAAATAGATGAATCAAAACTACTGGCAGAGGCGGTGCACAGTATATGTTCAGAGCTGGCATGGCTTGACTCATTGTTACTAGACCCAGGGCGACGGGGCCTCACGTGACTCGATGGGGCCCGGCGTGGACGCGACGGATCGAATGGAGGATTGGCCAGGGCACGGTTAATATCGCTGATCGCAGCGGGTTCGTTTTCGGGAGGAGAGTACTTCCAACGTTCAAGAGGAGTCATGAGGGATGTGTTGACGGATTGCTTCACGGGGATGTCCACAGCTCCTGGCACGGGAGAACTGCTCCCAGGCGACGCACGAACTTTGCCGCGTCGCCTGGCATTGGCGAGCCAATTGGCAATTTGCGTCCGGGTTAGACCAGTCTGTTGTTTCAGGTCATCTCTCTCTTGCTCGGTAGGATAGGGGTTGTCGTTGTGGTCTCTCAGCCAGCCCCTCAGGATGCTGATTGCCTTGCGCGAGAATCGGGCACCAGTTTTTTGAGAGCGTGCATCTGGGTCATTCGGATACGTGTTGTATGAAACTGATTTGAGGGCTTTCTTTCCGGTCAGGCTACCTGTAGGAACATAGGCATTCTCTGACACACTATGTAATGTCTGGAGAAACTTGCCAGGCGTTTTGGCGTGAGTGAAACTGCATTCACGGTAAAGAGAGATACAGCAAGTACAGCCATAGTTCAATAAACCGCGCTTTGCAACAAAACAGTCCAGTCCCATTCGCCGGCAAAAGTCGCACGGTTCCTGGGCCCGGAACATGGGGTAAACCCCGTCGACCCCATCGGGGTCAACGGCTTGTCCCACATTCATTTCGGACTGCTCCGGTACCGGGTCATTGGAGAATTCCAATGTCTGATCATTAACCAGCGAGTCGAAGTTCGCTGCTTGTTCTTCGGCCTCGTCGAGTTCAATGTCAATCGAAGCGACATCGTCGTCTAGTTGATTAGACCCATGGGCGGATGAGGCGCCTTCGAAATCAAAATACTCCATGTTTCTGTGAACGATTCCAATGGGAAATGCTGCACAGAGCACAGCTTTTCAGGACCAACAGAATAATGGAACAATGAAGGACACGGTGGAAAGCAGGAGAAGAGTCGGTCAGATGAAAACTGGCCGAAAATACCGTTCCAAGGTTGGTCTGGGGTAGAAAGATGGGTGAATAATCAATTCGGGTGGAACTCTGTGACCTTGGAACTAGAGGTGGGCACCATTCAGCCGCTGAGATTCCCAGCGATTCGGCATGGACCGCTCAAAGGCAAACCCCGTGTGGCTTTTTTTTCACGATAAGCATCATCGTCACGAGGAATAAGGGCCAAGCACATGATTGCGTATCCACCGCATAGCTCAAACTCCAGTGACAGAAGAGGAAGTTGATTCGAGGAAATCCACTCGGAGTAAATGGAGAAAGGCTTCGAGTGATCCAAATCCCAAAATGCATCCGCGCGCCCTTCCAATGACAACGCTAAGCCTATTTGGGGGTAGCCTTCGTCAATGTGGAGTTGTTGCCAAGCCCCGGTGATTCATCTCTCCCCTCCGGTTTCTCCGCGATATCGGACGCTTGTTTTTCTTTTTATGTCTGTGTTGTGTAAAAAGTATCACTATCTAATGAATACGAGATTAAGCGAGTAGAGGCGTACATTTTGAACGACTCAGCATCGCTCCCAAGGCTCGGCCTACGCTCGGAACGACCGAGGTAACGACCGCCATCACCCACGAACTAATACATAGATTGGGCCCAATGGAATTCATCCGTCCGGGCAAATCAACTGCATGGTTAGAATCTCAGATTGAATATATCTGTTGTCGGTATACAAATGTCTCATGTCGGAGCCGAGGGCAAAGGGCATGCTAATTTTACCTAGGTAGCGCTTTTCAACGCTGACTAACGCGTACGCTTCGATTTCACCGTCCTCTAGGTTGTTTAAATGTATCAATTTCCACTTGAAGAAAGATCCAGAGATGTAATAAACAGGGAAAGATATACCTAAATGAAGTTCACGAGGCTCAGCCCCTAAACCAAATGGCTCTGCATATCCTTGCCGCTTCATTTAAATCCTAGACAACATTTATAGCAGTTCATCGACAAACAAGGTATACATCTCCAGCTACACACATAACTCGATGGCAGAATGTATTTCCAGCTTTCAAGGGAATGATTGGCGAACGAGGTAGGGAACTACCTAGGTAGTCCTATATCTCACGGTCCGAAACAGACTTCCTCCCAAGAAAGCAGTCACGTCCCTCGATTTAAGGCTCTAAAAGATATCAAATATGCATCTGCGACGCCCAGCGTCTTCCATGTTGGATTGCGAGTTTCATTCCAATCACATACATCACGTCCTACACACTTCATGCCGGCTTCGATGAACAGATGTCATATGCGATTCTTGTCTTTCTTAATCTTGGTGCTGTGTTCGGCCGCTTCCTACCGGGGCTGGTGGCTGATCAGTTGGGCCGATTTAAAGTCATGATTGTGAGTTGCTTACTGTGTTCCTTATTCAGACTGGTGAATCCACATAGCTCCTGAAGTCTCGGACCATTTGATAAGCTCAGAGAGTTCCAGTTGCTTGTATTGCCTTCTAGGCAGTTTTGCCTCTTCCTTCGCCAACACTTCATTGGAAATGTTAAGACAGTTGAAATAGTGCTCTGTAGCCGCCGGTGGCTTGCCGTCCTCGAAATCCCACTCGTCATCGACGGGTCGATCATGAAGAAGCCACCAAGGAAGGAGGTGAGCCAAACAGCTGTGCCGGTCCTGCATACGCCCACTCAAGGTCCGCGACACCGACAATTGTGAGATCTCTATCGCTTTTCACAATCATGTTTGCTGGGCCGAAATCGTCGCAGATGAGTTTAAACGGGCCGTTTTCATGCGTCCCTTTCACAAAATGGGGTATTAACCATTCCAGAATACTCAAGGAAGCATATTTAGAGTAACCATCCAGTTGGCCAATAACTGAATTTGGCTGATATCGAAGTTGTTGCCAGTCTTGGCTAATGATATACTGGAAGTACTCTATGGTTGTCGAGAAATCTTAGGTTCGATCACCTAAAAAAAGAATTAGCAAACCCAGAAAGCCGGGTTCTAGACGTACTAAAGGTATCGACGCCCCCGGTGCGTGTAATCTCTTATATCTTCCACGTTAGCGGGCATATAGGCGCAGAATACCCTGTCCTTGGCGTGGGCAAACTCCCGATTCGGTCATAATTGACCTCAAAAATCTGCAACATGAAGTTTGCTATCTGCCTATACACAATATCGTCTCTGTCTGGGATGTCCTTTTTGAGTAGCCTAGAATCGCCTCCGGTGAATATGTCTTTCGGACACACCCCGTCGATAAAGTTCATCAAGATGAAAGGGCCAAGACCCAAGGGATTGGCATCAGCGAGACCATAGGCTTTAATTTCTAGAATAGGAACATTTGTTCTTTCGCGGATAAGAGAAAGAGCCTCCACTTCCACAACTACTTTTTCGTCGGCGTATTTAGGGCAAATGCTCTTCACGCAAGGGAAACGCAGTAGCCACATAGTACCACCCTTAAATAGAACCTTTTGGCAGACGTTGTAGGAGCCGTTTAAGAAACCACCATCCAGCTAGCATAAAATTCGCTCTGGGTGAAAGCCAGCGACCCATTCGCAAAGACGCCCGTTTGTTCGAAATTTCTTGATCTCGTCGACCCAAAGGTCTTCTTGCGTCTGATGTGAGAAATCAATACACTGGTTATATTCCATTGTCGATAGTGGTTAACTTAGGAGGGTAAATGAGATAGGTTGGTAGTCGAATGAAAAGTGATGCTGGGTCAAGGACATATATGTTCGAGATGTTCACTGAGAGAGGAAGGAAGCCTGCCTCAACAAAATATTGCGGAATGATGAAGACGCTAAATGGTGTGGTGGAAACGATGCAGATGATGAGATTGTCCCGAAACTGGCGAAAACGCTGAAAGTAACGAAACAGGTGAGAATGTTCCGGCTAATCAGCCTCAGACACTCTTTGGAAGCTCCGTTGTTAACCAGCGGAACACCGGACACAAGATGCTGTGAGATGATGAATTGAGATCAAGAAGGGTGGTGAGGATGTGAGGTTGTTCCGAAAGAAACAGGCAATGACACAATTAAAGCAATGAAAAAGTTGAGATTGTTCCGGCTACCGCGCCTCAGACACTCTTGGGAAACCCCGTTGTTAATCAGAGGAACAATGGCCACAAGAGGCTGGTGGGGGGGATGGAAGGGGGAGAAGTAAAGGGGAAGAGAAAGAGGAAGAGAAAGAGGAATCGGTGATGCGTGGGCACGAAAAGAAGAACAACAAACCTCCGAACACCTGACATGGATGATATTAGATCAGCCCTGGAAGTCACGGGCACCTCGGTCCACAACATTTGAAATTCAATTCTACGCATAAATCAAACTGACGACTACCCTGGGCTCCGTCGATATCTACGTGTGTACCAAAGAATGTGGCCTCCTTGTGCATGCTGGGGATTATCTCAATAAGCTCACGAATCTTACCCAGAGGACCAGTGTCCCAAGCAGCCCACTACACAAATGGCTTTGGAATAATACCAAGTTTTAGAGATACTATAGCAAGTTACGAAAGTTCGAAAGCTGCGGAAAGTATAACAATCCCGAAGTGGTATAGCGTCAGTGAGGGTAGGCCTGATAATGGGTCTTCCAAGGCTACCTCAGGAATGCCCCACTGTTCTCCAAGAGATGGCCTGAGTTTGGAAATGAACAGAAAGAGTAATCCTTCGTGTGAACTCCACATTCAACGCATTATCTACATCATCCCTGCCATCCAAAATTAGCAGGGAGGGGGAGGCATTCTCAAAGAAAACCCACAGGTTCCGCCGAGCAATTCAGAAACATCTTCTTCCAATGAGCGGACAAAGAGACTACATATCAACACTGTTGTAAAGAGCAAGTTCGTCCACGCGAGGATTGGCATTGCAGTCTTCGTCAGTTGTATTAGTGCTCTGTAGGATTCTCGTTGACTTTCTAACGGCGTCTAGAGATGCGCAATTAAAAAGAAATTCAATGACATCTAAAATAAGATCTCAAAATATATTCAAATAAAACATCTCGAAAGATATCTCAAAACATATGTCAAAAAGCATCAAAAAGACATCGTAGTGAAATCGTATTTATAACATCTACCACCACCATGAATCCCTCACTACTATGTAGTTCCTCCATATTCCACCATTAACTATCCAACTTCTTTTGACCAATGGATGGGATCACCACTGTCGACTGGCTTTTTTATGTATTATTAACGAATTTTATTTCAATTATTGCTCTTTTGCAGTGATGAGGAGCCACACTTTTCCAACGACGTATTCACTAGGCGATGGTACAATATATCGTAAGTCTAGCGACACTTCATATTTACCATATGTTTACCCTACGTTTATACCTTTCGCTCTTCCGAAACTCATTTTAAGTTCGAGATTTGAAGCTGGTGTTCATTTCACAACATAGCTGTAGCGGAAGAGATCTCGTGTAATTGTAATCATGAGCAATCATACCTAGCAAAGGTGTTGAACTCGCAAGGGCCTGGTCTATCTATGCTATGCACAGACCAATCATCCTACAATACTAAATTAGGGTTAGTAGCTATCTATATATCTAGCTTGTAGTGACAAAAGTGACTTACATCGAACTTTCCCGAAATCGTTTTGATGTTGTGCTCTAAAATGAGTTTCGTGGAGTTGCACACACTGTCACCCTCTGACTGACCTATCCAACTCGCAATGACGTTGGGGTTGAAAATAGGACGTATCGCATGGATTCCACCATCACCCGCGATAACCGTGAATCCTCGTAGTTGTTGGCCGCGGAGGTTGATTGTCACTTGCCTTCCTGGTACCCGATACCCAAAAGTGATGTTCGGGGTTCCCGAATCTGCACTTATCAGATCAAATCCAGTAATGTAGGTTTTTGTTCCTTCAGGTAAGATGGACACAGCCAAGCTGATAACGTTTTTCAATGTAACTGCTTGCGTGACGGGAACATGCTCTTCCCAGCAATTTGGGCACTTCCCCCAATCTATGCCCTGTCTGCAATTTCTATCGCAGCGAATCTCAACAGAAACTCCATTCCAGGGTACTTCACCAAGTAACAACGTATTTTGAAGGCCAGTTTGATCGTCCGAGCCTTTAACCATCGAATACCTATCTGCTAGCCATCGGTTGTTTCTCCACTGTCGACGTAGGGCCCAGAGGTAGAGATATGGTTGATCAATCTTTGCAGTACAGCGGTACATTGACCGCCAGTTCTTTCTTTTGCAACGTTGGGGTGTATCCACTAGACAAGCAAGAAACCCGCGATCTCCATTCACTCGAAATCTCGTCTTCCAGAATGATTGTAGTTCAAAAAGAAGTGCCATCGCTCGGGATGCAAACCGAAGGCTAAGGAAATCGACGGTAGAAAGGTAACCTGCAATTTCAAGTCGTATCTCCATCGCGAGCAAGCCGAAGCAGTCAGCCCCAAAAGTCATATTGTTGCTCGACCCTGTTTTGACGACTTTGATTTTCGAAACCAGTTTTGTGGCATCCCCAATCCCCCGGATAATAGGTCGTTGTAGGGGATACCACGCACCCTCGCTGCGTTCGATATGGCTTTCATTTCCTGACCCTGTTAAATAAGTCTCAAAATCAGTACATATGTATTAGCATGCTCGTATGAATAAGAAGCTCACGGTGATATATCGCCTTTGATGAGGCGGGTATATTCTTGCAGACTTCGAAAAGCCTATCTAAATCGATCTCGTCGTTTCCAAAATGCTTGGTCAAGAGAAACCAACAACAATCATGAATCAGGAAAGCCTTAGTGGGCTTACTCTTAGCCATAACATACCAGGGGCCAAACGTCTTCGCATCACGCTTTCTCGGAGTAGCATACTCTTTTTCGAGCCAGTCAAACTTGGCTATAGAAACATCCGACAACTGGGTCCCATCCGGAGTTAAATGTACTAGAAGGGTTGAGTCTGGTGGAATAATTTATATATCTCATCAACTGTAGACTTACACGCTTGATAATCTGTCATCCAAGGATACTTGGTGGTGATAGGATATTCACACGATATGCAGTATATGCCTGAATCGTGTTGGTAGTACTCCTGAGTTGTAGGAGGTCTCCGTGAAGTCTGACGCTTCTTTTTCCATGGCATCACGAATTTGATTATGGGAATTATGATAATATTGGAGACAAGATGATGATTCCAGGGGAAATGTAAGTAGTTAGGGGGAGACTAGTTCTTTTGAATAAAAGGCGTGAAGGGATAATCATGACATCAAGCTCAAGATGTCATGTAACGTACCAAGACGATTGATGCTTTCCCACTTGAAACCGCAGCTTACCTTTCTACTGTCGATTTCCTCGGCCTTCGATCTATATCTTTCTCTTTGAATGGAAAAGGGGAAGGACTGTGACCAATGCACAAGGGTTTTATCCTTCAGGTAATCTTATATGACATAGATAGTAACGATTCATACAAACTTAAGATAAAGAGAAGGTCTAAAGACACTCGGAAAGTCTAGTGAATACTGCCTACTGGACTTCTTGTTCCTCGAGTCGGGTTACATTGCACTTCGTGATTTTGTTTTCCACAGTAGGGATCGGAAGAGAAGAATGAAAGCTTCAATATCAATTAGATCACAAATATGCCGTTTGCGCCATCTGACCCGGAGGTCACTCAGTTCATTTCACTTTCTGGATTGTAATGCCCATAAAAGCAGTCGATCGATAATTGTAGAGAGTGGGGAAGAAAGTATTACGGCTAAGTTAAGGCCAAACAATAAATAGTTTATTTTAATTAAAAAAACCCCAAAATCCGGACGTGGGACCCACCTTCCCCCATCTTTCGGAGGACAAGAGTAATCTGATACGTTATTGCGTCAGCCCAGCTGGCCACTGGCGAAGTCATTGGGGCAGAAGCTGGGTGGTGCCGAAGTTCACGCAATGACAACTGGTCTTGCAGACCAAATTGCGTCTGATGAGTACGATGTAAATCTGGATTTTTCCAAAATTTATACTAATTCTAGCATATAGATTCGATGCTATTCACAAATCGCGAGAGTGGGTAGCTTCACTTCAGGCCCGTGCCCCCTCGGTGCCTGGGTTGATCGAGCCCCTGCCACCGAGATACCCCATTGAGGATGTGCTATCAATTATCAACCCGGATATTCGAAAGCCGTTTGATATGGACGAGGTCTTGTTGCGTATCGTGGATGATTCCCGTCTCTCGGTCTTCAAACCCAAATACGGCCTAAATATGGTCACTGCGTCAGCTTATATTATGGGTACGATAAACCTATCGAAGCAGATCGTCCGTTCGCTAATTTTATTTTCTTTAGGCTTCCCTATTGGTATCATTACGAACCAGCTCTCCGTCATAAATCCCAACGAAGCGGCGAAAGTTACGCAGTTCATTCGCACCTGCAATTAGCAGTAAGTCTTGGATAAGAAGCTCAAATATGCAAATATTGACAAGATTAGGCATACTCCCATAATCTTCCTTCACAATGTCACTGGCTTCATGGTCGGGGCTAAGGCTGAGCATGCTGGTATCCTACCTAGGTATGTAGGGAACTATATATTCAAACAATATCATTTTCTATTAGCTAGATACAGAGTGGCGATTCTATGATATTCTCATACAATTATGCGACAGCTTGCAGCACCTGCTCAAACAGCTGATCCGAATCAAGTCCAACCGGGTTAGCCAATTCAAGCGCCTCCTGAGCCTTGGCCGGGGGATAGATCAGCTTCTGATTAATATAGCACTTAACCTTCTTTGCCAAATTCCCAGTAACCGTGACCTCTGGAATCCAACCCTGAGAAATCACAGTACCCCAAGCCCCGAGATCGAGACAGCAGCCGTACGTCGCCTGCACGTACTCAATCATCGGCTCGCCAACAAGGTCGGCAGCAGCATTGTGGCCAGACACACGGCCAAGTGGAATTGCATGTTGGCATGACATCAAGGCGTAATGACCCATGTCATCGGCGAGAGCACAGGCAGCGTCGCCTGTGGCATAAACATGGTCAACCGATGGAACGCGGAGATATTTGTCGACACGAAGACGAAATAGGTCATCTTTGTCGCCGGAGATTTGTTGTGTTAGGGGCGTAGCGCGCACACCAGCTGTCCAGATGGAGGTAATTGCTGCGATGTGCTCGCCAGATGCAAGCGTTACTCCGTCCGCATCGATTGCTGTGACTGAAGAACCGAGCTTAAGTTCAATCCCGAGATCTTTCAAAGCTTGCGTGATAACAGGACGAGGGCCTGGTCCCAGATCAGGGCCAACGTGGTCTGCACTCCCAACTAGAATAATCCGAGGATTTGTGACATGTCTCAGGCGCTTAGGCAGCTCGGTTGCGAGTTCGATTCCCGTAAACCCAGCACCGCACACCACGATGGTATCACGAGCAGGGCTTGCTGGAAGCGATGACAAGTTCTCGAGGTGGGTCTCAAGCTTTGTAGCAGAGGCTAGGGAATCGACATCAAAAGCATGTTGCTTGATCCCTTTGATACCATTTGGCAGTACCACACTGCTTCCAGCTGCTAAAATGAGGCGGTCGTAGTTGATAGTTGATTCGATGCCGTCAGCAGATTGGAACTTGATGGCGTGCTTCTCGGTATGAATCGTATTTGCGCATCCCTGGAGGTACTGTACTCCTGCCTCCTGGAAAAGAGCATCAAGAGCATGGGTCATGCTGGACGCCTTGGCCTCATAAAGCCGTGGACGAATAACCAAGGATGGTTCCGGGGCGATGACCAAGACCTCGATGTTTTTTTCGTTCTTTGTGAGGTTTACTAGGCGTTGGGCGGAGAGTGCACTCCAGACGCCGGCAAATCCAGCGCCAATGATGACGATTCTTTTGGGCATGATTTCGGTAGTTTAAAGTAAAAGCGCTTCGCAATGAAATTTCTTGTCAAGTGATGCAGCAAATATGTGCTTGAAACCTGAGCTGTTGATTGGAGTTCTGAGGGTTTTATATGTTTTTGTATAGCCAGAGCATGATACAGGGTTTCAACGGTTCCCGAAATACCCGGGAACATAGATAGGCTACAACAACATAGATAGCCTAAGAACATGGATAGCCTAGGAACACACATAGATAGCCTAGGGGGTGTGAAAAGGGGCAAGGGGTTGTCAATATCCTCGGTTTCTACAGTACGAGGCACTACATAGGGTGTACGATCCAGCAAAAATTATCGCGACCCATGATCCAACAAACGATATACCCACACCCCCGTCAAGCCCAGAGAATTTCCTATTCAGGAAGTGTGAATAGCTTCAACTTTATTTACAACTTGTTGCTGTCAGTGATCCTGCCGGGGTAATAAATAGTATCTCAACGCAGAGATTTCTCCCGGTCGGAAATGCCGCCATCTTGGAATGAAACCATAATCAGGTAGTGTTTGGTTGCTTCCTTGTTACGCTACCAACAGAATTTTCCCCAACAACTCGCTTCCTACATATCCTACAGGTCTTGCATCTCTACGTATTTCATCTTTACATGTTTCATCTTAATCATCTCCTATTATATATTTTCATCGACCTCATATTTTTGGAATAAGCGATTTCCGGGAGATTTTCATCATCCAACATCGAGATATTCACCTCAGTCCTTCCCCCCCCAAAAAGGATTATCCTACTAAGGCTGAAATCCATTGATTACATGGTTATTGCCGTCGGTGGTCGCTACTCGGTAAAAGTTCGCGGGGCTGATACTATGCAGGTTTAGATCATACAGTGAATACTTATTCCATGTAAACTTCCGCATAAATAGCTCTACCTGCGAAGGATCTAACGGGTTGACGAGGAGATGGTCTAACTTTCGAGTGCAAATGAGGGACAAGGCCGTATCTTCCATTTGCAAATATTTTGCTGTACAGATTTTGTAACAAGAGAAACGATGACCTCTGAACAGAAGGTGGACATGTATAAGGAAATAAATAACTAACAAAAGGCAATCAGATACAGTTCCAGGACGAGATATCACCGAAACCAAAAGAACAAAATTTCCCAACTACGAATCCACAAGCCTAAAAGCAACTCGCCTTCAATTTATCGACCTGGGCCATTCCACCCTTGATTTCGTATCCCAATGTTGAAAGATGCTCGACAGTCACCCCCTTTCTTGCTGTGGTCACCTTTCCGATATACGAAGGGGCTCTAATCATGTCCAGAGCGCTAATCCCACCAAGTAAGGCCAGGTAGCCGGAGTATTTCGATCGGGGAACATTCTATATTAAGCCCGTAAGCAGATTACGCGTCGGCGTAGCGGACTAATAGTAAAGCTATCTTATATTATTCGTACTAGTAAGGTAAGGTAGATAAGGCGAATAGCAATGACCTCTATCCATAAGCAATCCAACAAAAGGTTCCTCTTCAACCTGCCTGGGTGTAAACCGTGTTGTCAGTGACAGCCTCAGCTGGCAGCCACTTCCCGGCAACGGTGTTTTTGTACGAGAGTTGGGCGAGTGTAAATGTGTGGAGCTCGGACACCAAGACCGTTTTGTTCAGGGGCAAGATGCGGTGCACCATGGCATTTTGAGTAAGCATAGAGATGTACTCTTCGTCAGCTACGGATTTCGTGGAGGCGTCAAAGGTCACGCGGATCAAGGCATCGGGCGAGTTAGTGCTGAGCAGCGACGTAGACAAGAGCCACAGGGCTGGGCCGACCGCGGTCGACGCATCAGCGATGTGTAGTAATCCAGCATTGGTGCCGAGCAGCGGGTGCTTAAGCTTGAAAAATTCCATCTTGCCAGAGGCTCCGATATGGCCAAAGGTGCCGGTGCCACCAGTGGCATTGCCAGCGAGAGTGAACCAAACACCACTCAGGGGACCCTTAGCGGAGATCATTCCGACGGCGTTGTTGCCGACGCTAGGCGGGATGTGCATCTGCTTCGTCTCGCCGCTGGTAGCATTGATGCGCATGATGGACGAGTCCTTGTCTTGTGTGACGTAGATCAAGCCGGTGGTCGGTTCCTCCGTGATAAAAACCGGGCTGTTGAGCGCCGGATACAACGTGTAGTTCTTGGGGTTGTGGACATCGGCAGAGAACACAAAGTACTTGCCACTTTGCTTGGATGCCACCTTGAGGCCGGCCCAGACGCGGTTGCCAATCTCAAACACACAATGCGGGCCGTTGCCCGGCGCCGGGATATTAATAGTCTTCTTGATGATCGGCGCAGTCGAGAGTTTCTTGCCGGGATCCACGAGCAGTAGCTTGTTTTCGCCCTGCAGCGACAACCACATCATACCGGGGTATACCGTCGATGGCCACACGCCATGGAGCATGGAAGTAGTACTGTTCCTTCCCATACGGAACGAGTGGAAAGCAATGGGCTCCTCAGTGGTTGGGTCCAACTCGATCTTGATAAGCTCGCTGTCAGACATCTGCGTCAACAACACGAAATTCGAGTTCGGCACGCGCGCAAACTCATGCGTCTCAGTGGCGACGGGCATAAGGTACTCGGTGAGGCGACGGCTCACGAGCGAATGGGAGGAATTCTGTGCCAACACGGTGCTGGCGCCGAGCGCCAGCCCGATCACGAGAGACTTGAAAGTATGGAACAACATATTCGAAGTGCCCTGCTTGAAGTTTTTGCACATGGGCAAAATGCCCCCTTTTATCCTTACTGCCCGCCAGCGCATTGTTCAGCGCCACATCTCGTACTAGTGGTTCATTTCAGATCGTATTATTTACCGTACAGCTAAAAACGCCTCAAAATATTAGTGTCTGCGAGGAAGGCTCGTCTAAAAAAACTTATATACATATTACCAAGCCACTAGGGACCAAAACGGTTAGTGTAAAGAATACGAGTGTTGGCTAAATTATCTCTTCTCTATTTCCACAGCACTAAGTGGGGAGGACCCTAGGCAGTATATGTTCTAGCTCAGTGTATTCACAAACACCCCTTACCTCTCAAAAGCCTTAAAGTTCTGTTTTTTTTAATATATCATTGTTCAAATAGTACACTCAATTGGCGAGATACTTGGGGAATATCAATATCTAAGAGGGTGTATACTGAAAGTAAATAGTGATACGGCATCTCCCAGGGTCTGTTTTTGCGATTTTCTATCACCACTTGGTTTTATCCCTAAAGTAGTTAGTGCACATGTCGATCAGTTTGATTGCCGATTTCAAATATTGACGGACACTAACGTAACCCGTAAGCGAGTGGCCCACTCACCCGCGATCGCGTCCACCGTAGCCCGACATCACCATATAACGCCAGTACTAGTAGAGATACCACGGTTCTCGCTGCATCCTGCGACGGGCCTTATCCTAGGATAACGGTCGTTACAAGACAGACCATGACACACGTGAATAAGCTGAATCCTACCTACGTAGGACAAGCCGATTACAAGGTTGACCATATCCTGCGACAGCACCTATCCTACGACAAGGAATGTCCTGCGACAACAGGTGACTAGCTCCACCCCACGACAAGACATATCCTAGGATAGGGCCGATGGCGCGATACGAGTGCAGGTTAACTTACCTGGTCATATCTCATGATATGATTACTTCTATCCAAGGGTATGCTGAGGCGTACTAACTGATAGGACGGCGGAGGATATATAAGGACACTCGTTTCATGTATTTAGTTTTAGTTCTTCGCGATCAATCACATCATTGCTTTAGTGTATCACTATTTGACTCGTTGACAACCCATCTTACAAGAAGGCCAGTACTTCAGTGACAGACCTTATTGGCGCTCTACCTAGAACGCCTTTGCAAGACTACTTTACAGATCTGAGCCCGTGTAAAGCCTAGCGATCTAGGAAGCGGAACGATTGCGAGTACTTCTTGAAGGATGACCGTGGTAAGTATAACTGATATAAGACCAGCTCACAGTTACCAGCTAGCGACGCGTAACGCCCGGCTAATTCATATTACTCCTGCTATTACTGGGAATATCATCTGAAGCAGATCTAAGGTGGTATCTCTAAATCTGAAATTCTCTCTTTTCTTAAAAAGTGGTTCCTTCACTGGCTAGATGCACTAGGCCGGTAAAGTGATTTACAAGGAGGATGCGGTTGTGCAATACTCTGATGACCGGAAGATGTAATTGAAAGAGATTAGTGTGTAAGATCAACGACCTCGACACTATATAGGTGGTCGAAATTCACCGCATTCTCCCAAAAGTCCGGTATAAGCTCAGTCCCGACATTAGAAACAAGCTCATCTTCGTTTTGGCACCAAAAGTTCTCGTCAACATGGATCAGGATAGGATTGTCCTAGAGGCTGAGCCCGATGGAGTAGTATCATCCCTAATCACTATAGGATTGGCCACCATGCGTAGCTCGGGAGTAAAAATAGAGTTGCGTACGAGCAGAGTTCAGGCCAAACCCAAAGCTCAGTGGAAATCATTATTTAGGGGCCAAAAGCCGAAATATCGAATGTTTAGCAACGCCCTATAGCGGATGATCTACTCTAAGAGCAGTATGATTTGGTCTCCGATCCCATATTAGGACACCTCCATTTCGGCTTATGATATATAACCAGGTCTGTGTTAGCTATGCCCACTACAATCGTCAAGGATATGTCAGTATAAGCCATTAGGTTTAGTCTAATATTTTGCTGCGTAGTCGGCTATAGTAGCTCACTGTGCACTTACTTCCCTTTCAAAAATCTCCTATTAATTAGTGCCTCAGTCGATCGTCTCCAATAGCCATTTGCATTTTAGAAGACGAGATCAAACAGGTATTCAGGACAATCTCCCTTGCCCACATAGACCCTAGCTCAAAGTTCGAACTACTACGGATAGAGTTGAAAGCGGAGGGACGAATATAACTTCAAAGCACCGCACGTTTCATCTGATAGTTGAAAACCATTACTTGAAAGAAAAAGAAGACAAAAAGTGGATATATCTGGCTCTGATAAAGTTGGACAAAGAAACTGAAAGGCCTTGTCTACCAAAGAAGTCGAGTTTAATAATCGACGGGGCGAAGCTAAGAGATTTTCATTGACCCTTTGTGCAGTCGAAGTCACCGTTTATTGACGTCTGATTATTATATTCTAAGACATTATAAAGTAGCACGTACGTTTCAAGTTTATGATAGAACCCTGGTTGGGCTGGTCTTCTGAAAGGTCAACCGCTAATGGTTCTTGACAAAGAACTCGGGTATTTGGAGTCCACTAGCACAATGGTATCTATTCTTAATTTCGACTGCTTTAAACAAGGACTAGCTTATAACATCTGCTAGCATATAAGATCAAATCATTTCCCCGTAGTATTTTCAAACATCAAGCACAGTATCTAACCAAAATCAATCAAATTCAACAGGTAGTATCAAAATGGAACTGGAAGGAGTCGCTACCGCAAACTTGTCGTGGGAGCTTTCAAAGGAAAGTGTGCCCGTTCCCCTCCAAAACAAACTCGTCGATCACTGTCTGTTAGAGCTTTTGTCCCTCGGTGATGGGGCTAACCACGCTATTGTCAGGCTAGTTTTCAAACACCCACAAGTGGAAGCTCCTTCGCGCGCACCTGCTAACACTCAGGGTGTCAGGATGGATCTCGCATTGCAAGGTGTAATCAAAAAAGACACAGGCTCAGTGGAAGGTCAGCTGGTCGTTAAAACTTTCACTTACAGGGGAGCACACAGAAATGCCGCTGTTTCTCATATGTTACCCGTCAAGGGCCAAAAGGCCGTGAGACACTTTATTAATGTCGCTCAGCAGGTTAACTTGACTCCCTGTGACTTCGATGCGGAGCTCTTCGGATGTAGAGACTTTATGTAAGTCTCCTTCAAATTCTTTTATTCTGGGCATATGCTAACAATTTCGATAGATCGCAGTTCATCTACCACCTAGATCGCAGCAATGTTCTCAAGCTTCCAAACGATAGGGCCGTCAGTGTGTATGACCTTTTCAATTGGCAGTACGGTCTCGGTGGTGCAACGAAGGTTCCCAGACCTATAGATTACGCTGTTTTTAATCAAAACCACCAACATATCAATATCCCTGGATGTGTTTACCCCGCGGTCGCTGGAACTGGGGCTGCTGGTGCTCCTGGGGCTGCCGGTGCTGCCGGAGGGGCTAGAGCAGCAGGATAAAAACAGGTTCTTTGAGTGTATGGTCAATAACAATAGCAAAGGAATTACAATTGTTATGGTTGATACTGTGCAGTAGGATGGTTGTTGATAGTTGTAGAAGCAGAGAGGAAAGCTAGCCAAAGTACGGAATTTATGGTTCATGGGCGAAGAGCGCCTGGCTTGCGAATACAGGTGATGAGTGGTGTCGATGTCGCTATCCACGGGTCTGCGAGAAGGTTCGGAGACAGGAAGACAGGGTATCCGAAGGCGATATGGTTTTCTTTTAATAGCCTAGGCGGAGATGCCGCAGACGGAAATTTAGGCTTGGATCGAACGGGTTCCCTAGCATATCGAGCAAAAGTCCGTATAGGCCATTATCGACGGGTAGGTAAACTCTGCTATACGCTCCTCGCTATTAGGAAAAGCCGGGTACCTCTTACGTACCTTTATAAACTAGTTAGCACTTACTATAATTGGAGTTATTAAAAGATCATATACTTAAAAATCTATGAATTTGGTCTCAGTAGTGCGGAAATTTGTCTCGTAATATTTCGGCGATCTCTTACATATACTACTCTATCCACTTCGTCTTCTTAGAGGTGGCCTCTTCTACTTAGAGGGACGTTTTCGCCTTAATATAAGAAAATACATTTCGATCCAAGGAAAAGGAATCCTCCTCTATTCTTATATCGTGGGATGACTTAAGAAGATACGATATAATCTTTAGTTAGAAATAGTTCGTAGAATATAATATCTTACTTAACTACCGCTAATACTGAATAATCTAGCTAGATAAGAAAACTCTCGTTAATAATATAGCGAGTAAATTAATAGTTCTAGTACTAACTACTATCCTTTATAAGTCTAAATATAATAGCCTTTATTAAGCTAACGCGGATTAATAAGATCGCCTCTTTAAACAAGAGGATAAGAAAAAGATTAAAAAGATTAAATTTTAATCTCGAATTCTCTGAAAATCGTGGCCACTCCCAAAGGTATCTTAGCTTTCGCGATACTACTACACGAACTACATTATAGCAGTCTCCCAGTGGACACCAACCTTCCCCAGAGCCCCTTTCTCAGGATAACTTCCTATAACGACGATGTAACCATCATTTCGATCCTGCGCCTTGACAGAATTCGCATTGCCGAGGGAAGATTCGTGTGGGCAATTCCATTGCAGACTGCAGATTAGAGTACCAGAGGGTTTATCTATCAGATCAAAACTTCCTTTGGTTCCTGAGGTAGTGTCTTCTCTGCCGCAGCTGTAGATGTCTACATCTGAACGTGGACTTGAAGGATTGTCGCGGATCACCGTTTTATTTACGTCCTCTGGGCTGATCTCATGGTCTTTGTTCCCATGGGCATAGAACTTTCCCCTGCGAAGGTGAAGTTAGAAACTCATTTCTCTTAGCGAAACCGATAACGTGTAACACTTACCATTGAAGCTTGGTATTCTGGACGTGGACATGCGCCCCAGAAAATCTACCGTCCAAGTGTAGGTCAACCCAACGTTCGTACCCCATTGAGTCAGGTGTTAATAGATGAAATTAGATGGAATGATATAAATAAGGTGCTTGGTCTGATCACTGGTGACCTCTGATGGCGACATACTTCTAATATCCTTGAGAAACGAAAGGGAAACCCAGACTATTTTATGCTCTTTTACTTTCAAGGCTTGACGCACAAAATCAAATGGTGATGTAGCTTCATATTGTTGAACCTCGAGTCTGCCTCAAAGAGAGTCAACGTCATAATGTTGTCAACAAAAAAAGTTAATTCCAGATTCAGTTATTGGAAAATAAAGAAATGGAACCAAATACTTTAAGCAATGCTGTATTATGGCAGCATTCTTTTCGATTGGACAATGTAAAGGCATAGATGATCTAGCCTAGCCGTAATAGAGCACGGGACCAGGAAACAAAGAATGAAGAAACATGACAACCATTTTCCATCACCGACCACAAATATAACATGGCCCTTGTCCACCCAGAGCAGGGAGCACACAGGTGACAGCAGGGTTCGGGTAATTTTGATCACACCGTATAGTGCACTGGTCAAGCTTGACCGCGGCACTTTGTGGCAGTGACCAAACAGTGGAGGCTAGATTCGTTGACCATATCAGATCGAAGAACTGACTATTTGAAAACACACAGTGTATCTCCAGTCTCTCTTTATTTCCTAAGGCCCCATCTCAAGCGCCCTAGTCCATATTAGGATGGCGTTCTGCCGGCCTTGCACATGTCCATGTAGTTATCTTCGATGAGTCAGCGTAAATTACAGTAACCTCATCTCAACAATTCTTTCAAGACTGGATCCAACAGTCGCCCCCGCTATTCTCATGTACGCCACATGAAACATGTCGATCATCCGGGCTCGAAACCTTGTGCTGAATGGTCCGTGGTTCGGCCACCCGCGGTTCCCCGTCACTATGAACATCACACGCAGCTCGTATGTACCCAATCTGCCAAGCATTGCCTCCATAGGAATGCCATTAGTAAGTAGACAAATAAATACGAACACGGCGGCCTTGTACTCGATGTATACCAGACTGCCCGCGGGGAAAGCAGGTGGAGGACAGAAAATGGTCGACGCAAGCCATATGCTGGTTCGTGTCCCTCCTTCTGTCCCCGCCTTCTGGGTCGTATACGTAGGCATTCACTCATCTTCTTAAGCGTCGCCATATATGGTTCTCGCGTTCATAGCATCAAGATTATCCCCTTCAAAGCTCCACTTTGTTCGTGATATAATACAAAGTCAGTTACTTTCCACATCTCGGATAGCCGAAGAAGCTGAATGCAGCGAGCGAACGACCAAATATATTCGCAAAAACCTACGGCAATATAGGACCGGGGACCAACTATAACACCATCAATGTTAGAAGCACTGTATGATCACCTGCTCGAAAAACCCGGCCCCTATCTAAATGAAATGGCCGTCTTCCTCTAGGATGGATTTCAGATGCTAGCAACGATGTCCAGTATTCGGAGGGCTTTCGTCTCCAGCAGTTCGTCTAAAAGGAAAGCTCGACAGATAGCTAAGGAGCAAATCCCCGGTTACGAGATTATTACTTCCCGATATATCGAGCTTTCAGTGGGTATCACCTGGTATGCGTCGGTCACTCATGGTGTGACAGACGGGCGGGGTTTAGACGGACACCTGACACATCCATACCCCCACCTCGACAACCACCTCCCTTGGTACAAAAGATCTTAACAATAAATCACAAGTGGTCCTAGCAGGATGACGCCAAACCTATTCCCTTCGAACCATCAACTTATCTATGCCGTGCTTGGTCCACATTGGGGAACTATCTGTCTCGCATGAATAGCGGCCATGGCGGGCTGCTCGCTTGAGGTCGAGGGCTACGCTACACTGCCTGCAAACAGCCAAATACTTGTAACAAGGTCAAGTAGTCCAGGCGTCCCTCCAAGCCCTGTCACCGTCACGAGAGCAAAGGATACAGGCAATCACACGACCAAAGGTCTATATGTGACCGTCGAGGAAGCTATTCGAATTATTCAACAATTTCGATCTAGTTATTGGCATAAGGATCGTCAGGTCCTGTGGAGTGGTATGCTGCGTGAAAATGCTCAAAAATGGGCCGATGAGCATGAAATGCAGACTCTGACCACAGCTATGGGTCCTAACTAATTCTAATAGCGAGTATCAAGATCTAGTAAGAAGGCTTCTCGCCTACGCCGGCAGAACTAGCTACTATAATATCACCTATAGATCGGACGACAGTCTTAATCTCTAGGGTCATATTAATACTTCCTACGTATCAGCTTCAGATATAAAAAGCAGTATAGGCTATATCTTCTTCTTTACTAGCGGCCTAATTTCATATAAATCCTAGCAGTAGTCAAGCACTACAAAACCTAGCGCCGAAGCTAAGTATATAGCACTTTCCACTGTAGGAAGTGAGGCCATTTGGTTAAAGAGATTGCTTAACGATCTTATACCAACGAAAACCTTAGTGCCAATCCCGCTATATAGCGACAGCCAATCCGCTATCTCAATAGCAGTCAATCCAAAGAACGCCAGACGTACAAAGCATATTAACGTCCACTAGCATTAGATCCGGGAGTAAGTGGAAAAAAGAAGATCTCCCTTCACTATATGAAAGGCACCGAAAACATCGCTAACAGGCTCACTAAGCCTTTAGTATCACATTAGTTCAAGCTATTTATAGCTAGATTGAGATTGAATCCCGCATTCAAGTAGGAATCAACCTCTGATTCCAATTAGGGGGAGCCTTTTTATAGCGCACAAATAGCAGATTAGCCATTCCTAGGCAGTTACTATACTACCAGAGAGCACCTAGATCATTTATTCTTTTTACTAGGGTGCCTCTCATTTCCACTTCACTTCTTTTTCGATCTCTTCTCTTTCTTTCTTCTCTAAGGGATAACCCTTGCTCCCGAGTCCACAACATTGACGGGGTATAGGAGTCTCCCCGCTACAGAATCGAGGGATAGTACCGGCCAATTTCTACTAGCTATAGATAGATACTCGTCGCATTTTTACGGCTTAACATTAAGGGGGCGTGTTAAGAATCCAGGTTAATTCTCAGTAATTAACATAGAGCTTTCAACGCTAACCCTAATTCGGCATGCTTTATACATTACGAATCACCATGCCTTTCTCGCACGAAGAGCTTCAAAGTCCTACGGAATCGAGATTAACGCCGTCGATACAGTTTGCCGTCTACACCACCAATCCCTATATACAACCGCCAGCTTGTTATATCACAGGAAGTGATTTCAATTCAGGCTGCATTCAGTGCTATCACCGCTCTTTCTTTCTGTTTCCATTACAAATTAATGGATTCTAGGGGGAGAAGAAGAAGCCTATAAATATGGGTTTCTTTCTATATATAGAGAGATTAGACAGTTTTACAATTCATTTTTGATACTTCCTAGTATTACTTTGCAAGAGATACTCCCTTATTTTACATGCTGTATAGTCCCCAAGTGTACTATTTCAACAGAGTTTCTTGAGACAACTTAAGATAATTCTCAAAGAAAGGATTTTGATTGGAGTTCATTAAATGGCTACACGTCCAGTTCGTTTTGAATTCATCTAAGAAAATACAAGCAACAAACCTAAAATCATGTTCCCTTGGTACGAAGATTATGGACAATCAAACATATGTGGTCAACCCAGGATGGCGCCCAACCTAGCCGTCTCGAAGTAGTGCGGGAAAATTCTCTTTTACTCTGAACAGGAACTATTTCTAGTGCCCCGCTCGCCGTGTCCACGTATAGTATCCCTTCTATCATTATTATTGTGATATAAACAACGATGATAGACGTGCCGTATATAAGGAACTCAAGCACATAGTGAAGGCATGGAGGGCTCTAACGCAAGACAAGCACGACTGTTATATCGGTAAGTGGGTTCCCTCATACGTTATACAAGCAACGATAACCTGGATTATATCATAGGTAGTTTTGGGAAGCAACCGCTGAAGGAAATCTTTCTCGAATCCCATCCAGAACTCGCTAGGCCATTTCAAGGTGCCAACGCCGTCCGACGGTTTCCAGACGCTTGTGGAATTGAAATTAATATCGAAGTGTCTATCATGTTCGCCCACAACGATCTTGTTTCACCCAATATTCTTCTATCGCCAGGGCCGAATCCAAAAGAAGCAGCGATTATCGACTGGGCCCAGGCTGGGTGGTATCCTGCGTACTGGGAATATTACAAGGCGCGACGAGTAAGGGTTGATCCATACTACTTCGATGATGCTGGAGTGGTACACAAAGTATCTGCCAATTATCCTGGATCCAGCCGATGATGAGACGTACTACTACCCCTGGCTTTGGTTTGTATTGTCCAAGGGCATGTAATCGTGTAGTGCTACCTTTGTGCCCCTCTTCCCACATTATTCCTCCATACATACACATGGCCACTTGTTTCCATTGGTCCAGCGAAGTTCAATTCAATATCCAGTCGAAAGTACCAGTAGAGCTGTGACGCGAGTAATTTTCTTTGAATCCTCCGCAACTTATCAGCGTTCTGTATGTTTGACATGGTCTCGCACTTAACACTGTTTTTCTGAAGACTTGCCTCGGAGGAGCACACCAGCTTATCATTCGGGCAATGCGTTCGAGAAGTTAAAGAACTATAGAATATGGTCTGTATGGTATAGGAATTCAGGGACCAGAGGGCGGTGGACTAAATGGGACGTGAGCCCTGTTGTGGGGGAGAGAAGGGGGGGGGATAATAATCTGAACAGGCAGTGTAGATAATGGCGGATGTTCCGCAAGAGGACGCCGGGCGGGCACTCAATTAGGAAGTCGCTATGGTCCAAGGACATTCTCTGCGCTAAAGTGGATTAGGCTCCAAAATTCATTGTTGGGCTTATTTAATAGCCTTAAAGGCTTCCCAAGGTTCCTTCACCATCGAAATAGCACCGACAGCTTTTTCACTCTCCAGTGACCTGCAAAATGAGTCCCGCCAGATTCAGCAAATTGCTGGATGTGACAGCCGCAATCATCACCCTGCTATTTGGTTTTATTTCGTTTCTCATCAATTATGAGCGGACAACAACCAGGAAATCTTCGGTGCTACAGAAGACGGCTCTTCGAGTTGTTCCTGTGCTGCTTAGCTCGGCGTCTTACATCGCCGAGGCGATCATCGTCTCGCTACGGCGCCATAAACCTAGCCAGTTCCAAGATCATCTATTCGCCACGGTTATTTTCGCCTTAGCATGGGCTTCAACCTGCTTGCGCAAAGAGCTCCTCATTTCGGAGGTCTGTGGTCTTGCCTCGATTTCGCTGCTATTCGGCATCCCGGGCCTGGTCCTGGACGCAACGTACCCAGCAGTGACCTCTTTGCACGAGGGATTGTTGGCCATCGAGTTTATCCGACAGCTTCTTGTTGTTTGTTTGCTGATCGACTGCCTCATTCGCTCCCTTTCACACAAGAAGAGGCTGAAGCATGAAGAAGAAGAAGAGGAGCAGGAAGCGAGGCCTTTTCTCAACCGCTCGAATGAGCAGGCCAACCAAATCTCGTACGGCACCGAGCCCCTATCACCTCGGCCCTCTAGTACTAGCGATTCTTCCAGTGACGACGGGGATTCTGACGACGGGGATTCCGACGACGGGGATTCCGACTACGAAGAAAATGAGAACTCTCAGACCGGCCAGCTTCGCAGGAGCGGGAGCTGGATGCTTTATATCCACAACTTCCATGTGTTCCTGCCGTATCTGGTTCCCCGAAGGGACCTCAAAGTGCAAGTCTGTCTCCTAGGGTGCGTGTTGTGCCTGATTGCCGACCGCTTTCTCAACATCCTGGTTCCTCGCCAGCTCGGCATCGTGGCCGACAAGCTCTTCGAAAGACAGCAACCGTTTTCTGACCTGGCAATTTACTTCGCCCTCGATCTGTTTCATAGCGATTCGGGCCTGGATATGATCGAGTCGCTAGCCAAGATCCCCATCCAGCAGTTCTCGTACCGCCAGCTCACGAATGCAGCCTTCAACCACGTCATGGGATTGGCGATGGACTTCCACTCCGACAGAGACTCCGCTGAGGTGATGAAGGCCATCGAACAGGGCGAAGCACTAACAAATCTCCTGGAGAGCGCTGTGTTGGACATTGCCCCCACACTCATCGACATGGTTGTTGCAATCGTCTATCTCTATATCAAGTTCAGTTCGTCCGCTGCACTTTGCATGTTGCTTGCATCGCTGGCGTTCATGGTTCTCGAAGTCGTCACCTCCAGCTGGAATGTGGAAAACCGGCGGCGACTCACCAAGGCCGAACGAGCTGAGGCGCGGGTGATGCACCAGGCCATCCAGGGGTGGCAGACGGTTTCTGCCTTCAACATGTTCTCGTATGAGAAGTTTCGTTTTGGGGGTGCTGTCGACAAGCATCTTGTGGCAAAGAAGGATTGGTCGCAGAGGGATGCGTATGCGAGTGGCTTGACGGAGGCGCTCGTTCCGATGACGTTTTTCGCCCTGGCTTGCCTCGTCGCTCGTGAGGTCTATGAGGGCCGTGCCTCTCCGGGAGATTTTGTCTTTCTGACCCAGTATTGGGACTACATTGTCTTGCCGATCAAGTATCTATCGCACGAATACCGCTACCTCATGGCCCAGCTCATCGATGCGGAACAGTTGCTTGACTTGTTTACGACACAGCCTACCGTCGCAGATAAGGATGGCGCCTTGGAACTGGGTCGCATCAAAGGGCTAGTCGAGTTTGAGCACGTTGGCTTCTCGTACCTTGCCCAGAAAACTGCCATCCAAGATATCAATATTTCTGCATTACCAGGCGAGACCATTGCGCTAGTTGGTGTGACTGGGGCGGGTAAGACATCGCTCATGAAGCTGCTGCTCCGGTATTACGATGTGACCTCCGGGAGCATCAAGATTGACGGCTATGATGTTCGTGATGTCACCCAGGGCTCCCTGCGAAACATCATCGGCGTGGTTACACAGGACCCGATACTGTTCAATGCATCTATTATAGAGAACCTGCGCTACGCGAAACTCTCTGCTTCCGATGAAGAGATCTACGATGCCTGCCGAGCTGCCGCCATCCACGACAAGATTATGTCTTTCCCTAAGAGCTACCACACCAAGGTTGGTGAACGAGGCGTCAAATTATCTGGCGGAGAGGTTCAGCGATTGGCGATTGCAAGAGTTTTTCTAAAAGACTCCCCCATCCTCATTTTGGACGAGGCAACCAGTTCCGTCGATACGGAGACCGAGTCAGAGATTCAAGGTGCGCTGAAGCGGCTAAGCAGGAAGCGGACTACTTTTGTGATTGCCCACCGGCTATCAACTGTTGTGCGCGCGGACCAGATTCTCGTCTTAGACGATGGCATGATCGTTGAGAGAGGAACACATGCGGAGCTGTTGGAGAAACGGGATCGGTACTATGGGCTTTGGCAGAAGCAGTTTCTGGGGTCGGAGGAAGCGCCGTTGGTAGAGCTATAAATAGACGAATCTGGTAATGGCATAGACTACATATGTATAATTATTACTATAGACTTATCATCACTACCTATATAATAGTGCTTAGTACTAGCTATTTTCTTAATAGTTATAGTACCTTCTTATACTATAAAGATATCTTTAGTAGCGTACTAATCCCTAAGAGAAATCTACTTATATCTTCTTTAGGTTAAAATTAACAGGTTGGTTTTGGTGCGCATCTTGGTAGTGTGCGCAGCTCGGTAGTGAATTACGTTACAAAATGTCTAGTAAATTTTCTCTGCGCTCGGGAGCACGCCGATGACTAGATGTTAAATACACATGCTCTATTTCAGGCTGAATGACATTGTAACACGAAGATGCTTTGTCTAACTGGAGAGTAGGGACTTTCTGGAGAGTAGGGACGTTCTTCGTGGACATTCCAAATCGATATGAAGTCGAGGGGGCGATGGCAGGGATTATATAGAACCACGCACGGGGATGCACAAGGACAAAGAGCGCTAACCTGAATTGATAAAACCAAATCGAAAGCAGCCTTCATCAAGTCATCCGATATGGTGTAGTGGCTAACATCGCCGTCTCTCACACGGCAGCCGGGGGGTTCGATTCCCCCTATCGGAGATTATCGTGAGATATCTTTTTAGGTGGAGTACTTTTGTACTAATTTTTCTTTTTTACACAAATAAATTTTAAGTAATGCATATCCAAATAAAGTTTTTGTGCCTGCATATAAGACTCCGCTGATGTAAAAAGGTACCTGTACGAATCCTTCATTAGTTACCTACTAAGCATCCACACCCCTACCGTTGCTCCTTTGCCTCTCGCTCTACCTAATTACAAGTAATAGTACATAGTTGGTTACTGCTGTATCCTGAAACAAAAGTTTTCATTTCTCTACGCAGCCTTAGAAAATCGCCACTTTGACGAAATTTACCCGGCAATAAACACGAGGCTGCAACAAAAGTAAAGATGGTAATGATATGTATAATGTATGAAAACAAAAACAAAGCAAGAGCCTCCGATAGGGGGAATCGAACCCCCGGCTGCCGTGTGAGAGACGGCGATGTTAGCCACTACACCATATCGGATAGTTGTTGAATAAATCGGGCCGAAAGAGAACTATCGGGGTCTCTGGTGTGGAGTGGAGTGTTAGGAGTGGAGAGCGGGTATTCGCCCATTTCTATTGGATGCCTTCGAATGGTTCCTTGTAGGGCATCGGCTAGTTGCACATCGTACCTGATGTCTTGGAGATCAATAATTCTGATGAGACGGCAGGGACTCGGAAGACCGAGAGAGGAGTGGATCATGTGAAGAAATAAGGCCTCACAGAGCTAGCTGTCAGATAACTACAAACCCCGAGCTAAGCTACTGTCCTGGAATCCCAGGCAAAGCTATCTTAACAAATCCACTCGCCGTATGGAGTATCGAGTACGATGTGCATCGCAGGTGAGAAGCGCCCACCGTTTATCGTGGTTGGATGATGATATTTTAATGTTCGCATACAGGATTTAGATCCACCATCTTAAGGAGCCTCAGCTCTATACTACCTCGAAAAATGCTGTCCAAGCCACCATGCAACTAATTGATTATGTCTGGCATACCCCGGCAATCTTCCACAATTTCTTGACCTACAAGTTCTAGTGGCTGCCTCCATATCTTACCATAAATGACTACGTTCTATAACAATCCAGTCTAGATAGTATCGAGTTCACTGATGTACGTACGACATTGTGTCTAGCGCAAATTTGAGACTATTACGTCCGGACTTGGTTAAGTAGGTAGAATATCTTTCCACGATGGAGAAATGAACTAAACTTTCCCGCCGTGGTTGTTGCCGATACATTGAGGGCTTTAGGATTTGACGATGGCTAACATCCGCTGTGCGCACTCCTGCAACTCGCCAGTGCAAGACGCCTTTTGAGGTCTTTGTCAATTCGAACTAAAAAAATCCTCTGACCCGGGATCGAACCAGGGACCTCAAGATAACAAGTTCTCTGAAGAACAGGGCAATTACAGTCTTGCGCTCTTCCAGCTGAGCTATCAGAGGAGTTGATACGATAACAAGATGCGCCTCAAAAATCCATAAATTCTAAGGTCAAGTTTCAAGGTTGGTCCCGAACCTTGGAGATTTCAAGGTTATCGGCAGTAGATCGGAGATTTTCTTATCAATTTTCTTATCAGTATATCGGAACCTCGAAAGTGTTGACATGTGAAACCGGAGATTTTTGTTGAATTATTTTAGTGGTTTTTCTGTCATTTTCCATTTGATCCAGGTTTTGCCCCAACAACCTACGAGTTCACATACATCTGATAAATACCTAGCTGTCAACTTCAACCCAGATAATTGCAGTGCCAATGGAGTACGCGGGTCTCGCTATTTTCCCCATCCCGGCATCGATTCGGCGTCGACTGCCCCGCCTATATTCTTCCCGGGCCGTACCCAAAGCCACCGAGTCAAGCGGGGATCCGCGCCGCGGACTGGCCTCTTTGTCAGAACCTCATCTACTATGTCACAGCCAATTCTCTACGTCCGTAGCACCCGAGGTCCAAAGGCCTTCCACGGCCAGCGATGACTTGGATTCGTTCGACTCTGGCTCCGTGGGATCAGATACCCCCCGAGAGGACATGGGGTCCACGACGAAATACGAGACCGCGTCTGGCCTGCGGTGGAATCGAGTCGTACCCGGTGAGTCCTCTCTACCCTCTTATATAAATTATTCATTGCACGGCTTTTACTGACGTGTTTGTGAAGCGTTCAATCTTCTGCGCAATGCGGGATATGAAGCCCAGCAGCCGCAGCCTGATGGCCGTCTGGCTCGATCTCTCTACGTTAACGCTCTGGTCTACCTTCTCGATGCTTTGCCTCCCGACTTGACCGTCGAGGAAACTTCCATGATTCAGCACCATATCCCAGAGCCGGTCAAAGTTGGGTTAACGACATACCCCCCACCACCCGGGTATCTGTATAGCGCGAATCGCAAAATAAGCCCCCAGCCAAGATCATATCTGCATAAAATTCTCGCCTCGACCATCGTACAGCTGTTCATTCTATTGCGGTTCCTTCTACCGTATGCTAAGGTGCTATTGCGCCAACTGTATGAGTATGAGCGGACACATCGCATTACTGAGCGCATCGTGACTACTACACTGGAGGCAGCTGACGGGTTGGGAAAAGGCAGTGTTAATATTGGAGCTGCTGTTTGCAGGTTCAACGAAGGGCGGGTTGGCGCTGCTCTCACAAATTTCGCAGCTTGGTGGATGGAAGGTGTAGCTGGAGGGATATACGAGGGGGTTGGTGAGGGGATGATGCACTTGGGTCTCTTGGGGAAAGAAGCGGATTTGGATAGACTTCCTTTCCAGTCAATGAGTATGTAGATAGAGCATAGACATGGTTTAGATTATATTATGTCATAATGAGAGCAATGATTCATATTCATGGAGTTCGGAGCACCAAACACTGAAATTCAAGGCAAAACCCTGTATTGCTCAATCTTTGGTCGCAAAATCGAGAGCCGCATGGGATAGAAGGCGTGTTGTATCAACAACCGCGATACCACAGTTTTGTTCCGTGAGAACAAGCGGCAACTCGGTACAACCAAGTATAATAGCATCACATCGTGTAGCAAGCTCCTTAGCAACGCGCACCAACTCGCTTGTCGTCTTTTCCAGGAAGATTCCATTAATCAACTCGTGTTCAATTACATCCATGACGATTGCCTGGTCAGTGTCAGATGCATAGACCGCAGCCATGTTCCTTTTTTGTAGCGGACCATCATAGAGACGGTTGTTAACAGTCCAAGTTGTGCCTAGAACAGCAACGCTCTTGTATCCTTGTTTTTTACAGTGATCTGCAGCGACATCGAGGATACTGAGAACAGGGATATCTGACTGGGCCACAATGTCATCGAAAACGATGTGTGGAGTGTTGGCACTGATGATGGCAAACTCCGCGCCAGCTTTGGCGGTGCGGTTTATCGAGTCAGCTATCGATGCTGCCAGGGACTGGTTGTCACCGGACTTGAGTGCTTGCTCCAGGTCTCCGTAGAGAGGGGTGTGGGTGACGATTTGAGGGTAAGCAATGCCCCGCCGCGCTGCTTCTCGTCCAATCTCTTGGTGGGCGATGACCCCGCCTTCAATGGTTGGGATGCAGATTCCGATGGTTTTCATATTGATCGTTTCAAGTAGGTTGGAATGAATTAGGGAAGTGTGTCAAACAAGAAATAGGACAGATATGGCTCCACTAGGCCCTAAACAAGTACCTTGGTTTTTGTTATGATCTAGTGGTAAGATAGACTGTATTTTTCCCGCAAAGTGGAAGAGGATACAGGGAGGGGTACGTTGTATCTGACTGTATCTGATGGTCTTATCCCTAGATGCACATGTGGCTTTAATATATATTCACGTAAGCTTGGGACATGCCAGATGTTCAACCACAACCAAAACATCCAGAACAGTGTCCGCGGGTCCATATTTTATTGACCAGCCATTGCCTTTGGATTTAATTGAAACGGTCAAACTCTTGACCATATGTATAAAATTGGAACTCCCAAGCCGTTCAATATTTTGAGTTCGGATGTAGATCGGCGATAAGCAATCGATAAGCTGGGCGTCAACCCCCGGATCTTCCCAACTTCCTCCTCTGCTAAAGTAGACATGTCGACCTCCAAGCTGCCCTGCATACCTTCACTCCGAAAGCAGCAGCTTCACCTGGAATTGTAAGCCTCTTTACCCCGCGCAGACCAATTCGTGTACTGACTCCCCCACAGCGCGAGCTTGAGACGTGCAGCACCGCCAGGGGTTTATGTGAGCCTCGCGCCCGGGGACCCGACACTCTGGAATGGAGTTATTTTTGTTCGCTCAGGTGAATTCAAACTTATTATTTACCGTGCCACACGTCGACTAACCTAAGTTTGTAGGCCCCTATGCTTCAGCCGTCCTCCGATTCCAACTCCGCTTCCCAGACACCTATCCCGACCTTCCTCCTCTAGTCACCTTCGCGACGG